CTTCAGCTCCCCTCTCGACTCTCTTCCCCCTCCTCGCTCCCTCCCTCCCTTCCCTCACCCTGACCATTTCCCCCCTCCTCGCTCCCTCCCTTCCCTCCCCTCACCCTGACCATTTCCCCCCTCCTCGCTCCCTCCCTTCCCTCACCCTGACCATTTCCCCCCTCCTCGCTCCCTCCCTTCCCTCCCCTCCCCCTGACCATTTCCCCCCTGCTCGGGTCATGACCCAACTGTGCAGCGCCTTGGGACGTCCTCCTGACGTGAAAGGCGCTTTATAAATGGAATCTTGTTGTTGTTGTTGTTGTATTCTGTACCCAAATTAGACCAAAATCTTGTGGCTGTAATATCATCCCATCAATCCTGGAAACGTTCATACTGAGAATGCTTTGTTCATGGAACGCTTTGCTGCAATTGGCTACTGAGGCCAAGACTTTAATATTTTAAAATAAAAATTGGATAAATATTTGAAGAGAGAGAATGTGAAAGAATAGAGGGGTAAGACCAGGAAATTGGTATGAGGGTAGGTGGCTGCATTGGATTCATAAGCACAGGCTTGATGAACTGAATGGCCTCCCACAGAGCTGTGATCTGAATGCTTCCTCTGACTCATCCTTTTGTGCTGATACAATAAAGTGCTGAAAGCCATTCACAGTGACATGCAACTTGACTTGGGATCATGTGATTGAAGGTGCACCACCAGGTCCATCAGTTCTGATGAAAGGACATTGACCTAAAATGTTAACTCATTTTCCTCTCTCCATGGATGCTGCCTGACCTGCTGCGTGTCCCCAGCCACTTGTGTGGTTATACCAGATTTCCAGCTCCTCCAGTACTTTGCCCTTTACAAGGATTCTTCTTCTTATTATTGTACCATACTGAAATGGTCTAAAATGTGGATTGGTTCTTGGTGTAGTGATGCAACTTGAATTGTGATGAACGTATCTCACCTCTGAGGTACATTTTCATCAAATGAATTGAAATTAGCGTGTGAACTTCTGGGCTGTTTTATTGTGCTCCTACAGGAGAGTGATTTGTGTCCCATTACATTATTAATGGGCATATTAAGCTGTGTTCTCTGATCTATGTTGCGTCTTATTTTCTAATATAGCAAGTACAGGTACTTGGTAAAATGGACAAGGGACAGTGGATTACTAATGAATAACTTGGATCTTGTACACAGCAATAACCTATAGTTTCTGACCTCAGAGATGCAGTGTTGTCTATTTGTGTACAGAGCTAAGAGCCTCAATATAGCTCTCTCTGCGTCCAGAACTCTATGCTGCCCTGGACAGATGAAGTGCCAGATTTTGTGAATCTGCCCATTTATCTCGTTATCATGGAAATGTGGCTCGCTGTATAACTGAGCATATGAGCTGGCCCTTGTGTCTGTCCCAGTAGTGAGAACATTTGTGTTTATATTGTACACTTTAAAAAGAACGTGTTTGCAGGTTTGTAAATTTGGCACAAGGTAGCCTAGCTTCGTTCAAAAGTTAAAATGAGTATTATCATAGAATCATACAGCATCATTCCAGATCCCAACAACTCGCTTGGTGGGAAAAAAAAATTCCTAACCTCTCCTCTCTTTTAACAACTAACTTAAATCGGTGTCCTCGGGTTACTGACCCACATGACAGTGGAAACAGTTTTTCCCGGTTCAACCCATCAAATCCTCTCATGATCTTGAAAACCTCTATTAAATCCCCTCTTAATCTTCTCTGCTCCAGAGAGAATATTCCTAGTTTCGCTAACCTCTCCTCATAACTAAGGTCCTTCATTCCTGGTACCATCCTGGTAAACCTCCTTTGCACCCTCTCCAATGCCCTAACATCTTTCCTAAAGTGCGGTGCCCACAACTGAACGCAGTCTCCAGCTGAGGCCTAACCAGCATTTAATAAATATTCAACATAACCTCCTGACTTTTGAATTCTATGCCCCTATTTATAAAGCCTAGTATCCCATTTGCTTTTTTAACAGCTGTATCTACCTGTCCTGCCACCTTCAGAGATTGCTTATGTGGATCCCCAGGTCTCTGTTCATTTGCCCCTTTTAAGATTGTACCATCAGCTTATATTGCCTCTCCTCATTCTTCCTTCCAAAATGCAAAACTTCACATTCCTCCACATTAAACCTCATCTGCCACGTTTCTGCCCATTTTACCAATCTGTCTAAGTCCTCTTGGAGTCTGGTGCTATCCTCCTCACCATTAACTACTTTTCCTAGCTTAGTATCATCTACAAATTTGGACATTGTGCTCCCAATATCCAGGTCCAGATCATTAATATAGATCAGAAAGAGCAGTGTTCCCAATACCGACCCCTGAGGGACACCACTACACATCTCTCTCCAGTCAGAAAAGCAACTGTTTATGACCACTCTCTGCTTTCTGTCTCCTTCTGCCAGTTCTGGATCCATGTTGCCGCAGTCCCTTTAATATTTTATATAAAAATATTTTGTTTAAAAGTCTCTTATGTGGCACTTTAAAAAATGCCTTTTGAAAATCTAGATAAACAACAACAACAACAAGATTACATGTGTATAGCGCCTTTCATCAGGAGGACGTCCCAAGGTGCTGGACAGTGTACAGCATTTCAGACCTGAGCTGGGGTTGGGGGGGGGGAAGGGAGGGGAGGGGAAGGGGGATGGCCGATGGCACGGTCGAAGAGGAGGGTCTTGAGGCAGGACTTGAAGGAGGCTAAGGAGGGGGTGAGGGAGTGACTGGGGGATGGACTTCCAGAGGTTGGGGGCAGAGCGGCTGAATGCTCTCCCGCCAATGGTGGGGTGGGTGGGGCGGGGGCGTGGAGCAGCCAGAGCCGGCTGAGAGGAGGGAACAGGAAGGTTGGTAGGGGGTTAGGAGGTCGCAGAGGTAGGGTGGGGCGAGGCCATGGAGGGCTTTGTATGTGAGGACCAGGATCTTGAACTGGATCCTCTGAAGGATAGGGAGCCAATGGAGTTGGGCGAGAGTGGGGGAGATGGGGTCACGGAGTTTGGTGCGGGAGAGGACACGGACTGCAGAGTTCTGGATTATCTGCAGCTGTGGAGGGAGGGTTTGGGAAGGCCGACACCAGGCCGTTTGCATAGTTGAGCCTGGAGGTGATGAAGGCATGAACAAGAGTTTCAGTGGCCTGAGGGGTGAGGTAGTGGTGGAGTCGGACGATGTTACGGAGGTGAGGGAAGGCAGAATGGGTAATGGCTTGGATGTGGGGGAGAAAAGGCAGTTGAGGGTCAAATACGACACCTCGGTTCCTGACTGATTGGTGAGTTGTAGTGTCTAACCATGGAGGTTGATGTTGCCACAGCCTGAGGTGCTGAGGCGCTGGCGCGAGCCAATCTGGAGGGCCTCAGTCTTGTTCACGTTCAACTGTAAGAAATCTGCCCTCATCCAGGATTTGATGTCCGACAGACAGTCTCTCAGGACAGCAGTGGTCCTGGAGTTGAGGGTGGGGCAGAAAGATAGAGTTGGGTGTCATCGCGTACATGTGGAAGTTAACCCCATGTCTGTGGATGATGTCACCAAGGGGGAGCATATAGATATTAAAGAGGAGACAAGGATAGAGCCCTGGGGGATATGACAGTGCGGGGCTGGAGAAGAAACCGTTAGAGGCAACGAAGTGGAGACGGTGAGAGAGATAGGAATCGAACCAGGCAAGGGCAGGTCCGTGAAGATTAAGTAAAGAGGAGAGGCGTTGTATGAGGATGGAGCGGTCGACAGTGTCGAAGGTGGCAGAGAGGTCTCTACCTTCATCCACCTTCTCAGTCACTTCATCAAAAAATTCTATTAAGTTTGTCAGACACGATCTGCTTTTAACAAATCCATGTGGACTATCCTTTTATTAAACCATATTTTTCTAAGTGAGAATTTATAGTCTCTAGAAGTTTCCCTACTACTGATGTTAGGCTGATTGGCTGTAGTTCTCAGGTTTATCCTTCTGCTCCTTTTTGTACAGGGGACTAACATTTGCAACCTTCCAGTCCTCTGGCACCACTCCAGTGTCCAAAAAGGTTTAAAATTGTGGCCAGATTCTCCACTATTTAGACCCTTGCTTCCCTCAGTAACCCAGGATGCATCCCATCCGGACCAGGTCACTTAACTATGTTGGGGGTCTTTTTATCACCTTTCGCCCACAAATATACAGTCAATTCACTTTACAGCATATTCTGTGAAGCGCTTTGAGACGTCTAGAAGACGTGAAACGCGCTATATCAAATGCAAGGATTATTATTATTATTATTACTTCCTCTCCGTTGATTTTTATCATATCCAATTTCTGTTCACACGCCTGCGTTATTGTGGCATTGGTTGCATTATGTTCTATTATTATTCAGGAAATGTCTGCTTTTATTCAAAATCCTTTTATTTGTGGAGTCCTGTAGCCTATTGGTTAGAGCACTCTCCCTGCAAACGAGAGGACCTGGGTTCGATTCCAAAGCAGGGCAAAACATTAAAATTGAGGTCCTGTCTGCCTCTTCAGTTATTTATTTGCCTACACTTGGCACCAATTATCTGTGGAGTCCTTTGAAAAATTGATGTTATAGGAAATACATCAAATATAAGGAGTTTTATTATCACCCACAACACACAGTCTCTGCACTTTGCAATATATTCTGTGAAGCACTTTGAGATGTCTCAGGGAAAAATGTTTGGCAAGTTTCCTTACTCCACACGCCTCTGTTTACCTAGCAATAAGTAGGAACCCAGTTGTTAGTCGATTGCTGGATTGCTTTTCCAGGGATAATAATCCCTCCAAAACATTTTTTTAAATTTGGTCACTTAATCCACGACTGTTTGTGAGATACTGCTGTGTGCAATTGGCTGCTGGATTTTGTCCACAAAATATACAGTCAATTCAGTGTGTCCTGTGAAGGGACGTCCTCCCGACGTGGAAGGCGCTCAATAAATGGAATCTTGTTGTTGTTGTTGCTTCGAGAAGTCTCAAATACGTAAATAAGTGCTATATCAAATGAAAGGATTATTATTATTAAAAATGTTCTTCTCTTGCCCTCAGGCGACATCTGACCAAACTGTCGTTGATCTTCAGCCACATGCTGGCCGAGCTCAAAGCCATTTTCCAAAACGGAATTTTCCAGGGAGACACCTTCAGGATCACCAAGGCGGACGCTGCAGAGTTCTGGCGCAAGTTCTTTGGAGAAAAGTAAGTTTATCTTCCATTCCCGGTTGTGTTTCTATAGTTTCAGGAAAGAATACGGTGCCTTTGGTCACCTCACCTCCAGCTCTGCATTGAGGCTGTTAAATGCTCCGAGATTCTACTTGTGTGAAGGCGTTATATAATGTGAGTTGTTGTTTCAGTATGGTGACAGATCTGACCTCCAGCCAGTTGGCAAATCACAGCTGGTTTTCCCAGCACTAAATCAATCTTCTGATCAGAAATCCCAAGTTTCCTTTGATGGTAGTTTTATTGATGGAGCACACCTCGTGGCTGTTTCTTTCGCCTGTTAGTGATAGTTGACCAGGAACAGAGAGAGAAGAATTCCATCTGTACCAACAACAACAAGTTTACATTTGTATAGCGCCTTTCACGTCAGGAGGACATCCCAAGGCACTGGACAGTGTACAGCATTTCAGACCCGAGCTGGGGTTGGGGGGGGGGGTAAGGGAGGGGAGGGGAAGGGGGATGGCCGATGGCATGGTCAAAGAGGAGGCTCTTGAGGCGGGACTTGAAGGAGGCTAAGGAGCGGGTGAGGGAGTGACTGGGGGATGGATTTCCAGAGGTTGGGGGCAGAGTGGCTGAAGGCTCTCCCGCCAATGGTGGGGCGGGGGCGTGGAGCAGCCAGAGCCGGCTGAGAGGAGGGAACAGGAGGGTTGGTAGGGGGTTAACAGGTTGCAGGTAGGGTGGGGCGAGGCCATGGGGTGCTTTGTATGTGAGGACCAGGATCTTGAACTGGATCCTCTGAAGGATAGGGAGCCAATGGAGTCAGGCGAGAGTGGGGGAGATGGGACCACAGAGTTTGGTGCGGGAGAGGACACGGGCTGCAGAGTTCTGGATTATCTGCAGCTGTGGAGGGAGGGGTTGGGAAGGCCGACATGCAGGGCATTTGCATAGTCGAGCCGGGAGATGATGAAGGCATGAACAAGAGTTTCAGTGGCCTGAGGGGTGAGGTGGTGGCGGAGTTGGGCGATGTTACGGAGGTGAGGGAAGGCCGAGCGGGTCATGGATTGAATGTGGGGGAGAAAAGACAGTTGAGGGTCGAACAAGACACCTCAGTTCCTGACTGGTTGGTGAGTTGTAGTGTCCAACCATGGAGGTTGATGCTGCCGGAGCCTGAGGTGCTGAGGCGCTGGTGTGAGCCAATCAGGAGGGCCTCAGTCTTGTTCACATTCAACTGTAGGAAATTTACCCTCATCCAGGACTTGATGTCCAACAGGCATCAAGTCCGACAATGTCTTCCACGGATGCTTTGCTGTTCAGATGGGAAACCAGGACGTGGCTCAGAGCAGGGCGGCTGTCTTGCTGGCAACAGAGTGACAAAGACTCATCTGATCTGGTGTCTGTCAGTGTCTGATGCATTCTAGTAAAAGCTTCCTGACCAGCTCTTTATCACTACAAACAGGTGTTTGGGTTATTTTAACCATTGCTGCAAGAAAACCAAATGTAAATGGTTAATATTTGCTTGACACATACTCATGAAGTATACCGATTGGTAATATTGGTTGGTGTGTGTATCTGTGCCTATGAGTTGTGCACAGTTTGTTGCACACTTCCCTGTCACCGTGTTGCATCGCTGCAAGCCCTGCATGGGAGTGCAGAGCTACAGAACATTGATGCATGTCCCATGTGCTTTGCTTATGACTTTAATTCAAAATAGAAATGAAAAGTACAGTGATGCTACTGCAGTAAGTGTGATGAATTGATATTTCTGGATGGTGACATATCGTTCATCTTTTATTTCCTGGAAGTGTAATGAGCTGTGCCCTTGACAAGAGTGGCTTTGTTGTTATTTGCAGTACTTTTGTGGTGGTATATTATGACTATTAATGATTAAATTGGGAACCTGTTTCATGAGATGCAATGTGAAATGCTTGTTTTATAGGACTGTTCTAATAGGTTCTGGTCAGTGTTACTATTAGACAGTGGTGGATGCTCCTCAATGAGCTGCCTCCCCCCAATTTGTTCAACAGTCTCCGTGGATGCTTCCCTCTCAGTGTGAGGCAAATTGTCAGGCTCCCTTGGTTATCTATTCACTGCTCAGACAAGCAAAACAGTCTGATGAATGGGGTTCATTCCTTTCTCTTCATTAGTTCTTAGAAGCTTGATTCTAATTGAAGATAAGGCGTTCACTGTGCTCACATGACGTAACTTTCCATGAAACTTAAACCTGGAAAGTTTGGAATTGAGCTCCATGTCACCTTCTGTTGATACTGGGTCTATGAGCTGGCAACACTTCTCTGTCTGCAGGGGAAGGCTGATTTACTCACTTGTGTGACAACGTCTGACATTACAGCACCTGACACATAAGTGTTTGGCAAAGCTTGTACAAGCAGCTCACTGTTTGGCGTCCCAGATCTGCCACCCTCATTGCTTTTGTTTTATCCCTTTTTACATTTAAGCATTTTCTTATGCGTAACCGCACATGACAGTCACCATGATAAACTGTTTGTTCACTTTATGGGCTGTATGTGGGACCTTACCCCTGTATAATTGGCTAATGCATTTGCCTTCATACAGTCATTGCACTTGTCCTTGTCACAGTGACTTCGGCTGGGTTACCTCTTATCCTCTGTGATCACAGTCGAGTTTTCTAAGGAACTCATTAGATGAAGGAATAACATAATTTTTAATTTTCATTATTCGTTTCATTCATTTATAGAAAAAAATTAGTTTCTTACAATCATGTTCTGTGGCCACATATCCCTTGTGATCAGAAAGAAAAGTTGAGTATAGTGACTGGTTTTGTCAAGTGTAGTGACTGCTACAGCAGCCTTTTTTCTTACACTCGAACAGACAGACAGGACCTCTTTTTAGTGTCTCTTATGAAGGACGGCACTTGGTAACGCAGGTTCTGACCAGTTCCTTCTCTTCTCTATGTAACAGGACGATTGTTCACTGGAAGGTATTTCGGCAAGCCTTGCATGATGTTCATCCAATCAGCTCAGGGCTGGAGGCCATGGCACTGAAATCTACCATCGACCTGACGTGTAATGACTTCATCTCTGTCTTTGAGTTTGACATCTTTACTCGACTCTTTCAGGTAACTGCTCCTGTGTGTGACCAGTGTGTGACACTGGCTGCTTCCTGACACCTAATCCAGGGAACATTGTGACTTTTTTAGCTCAGTCCTGAAGTATCTATTTATGCAGCTAAGATTGGCAAACCTTTCTTCTTGCCTTAGAGATTGATTAAGGGAGAAACTCTTGTGAGTTTCCGAGCTTCAGTAGTTACATGGCCTGCCTGATTGATTGACTTGCATTCTGAAAAATTCCAAAACTCTATGAAAGAAAACCAGTTTGGGTAACTTTTGTCTGTGCCTTTCATGTCTGGAGGATGTTTCAAATTGTCACTCAATCTGGGGAGGGTGGGTAAAAGGGGACTGAAAGAGCAGTCAAAAAAGATAAAAGGAATTTTGAAGGTGGATGATGCTCCAGTCCAGTGCTGGGGGGGAGGTCTGCGTTGTCAGGTGCCATCCTTTGGTTGAAATATTCTGCCCGTTTAGGTGAACATCAAAGTTCCCATGGCAATACTCAAAAGGGAGTTTCTCCCAAAGCCAATATTCCCCAACTATGATTGCTTACTTACTTCACAGCTGTTTGGCGTGTTTGAAGCACTCCAGGACGCTACCTTACTTGAAGGGAGGTATATAAATAAATACAAGTTGTTACTGATTGAGGATTGAGAGTGCGCCTGGGTGATGGAAAGCTTTAGAATTGAATGACTTTGCTCTCTGAGAAACAGGTCTCTTGTTTGTGTTGTATGCTGCACATGAATTGGCACAGTGGGTTGAATGTTGTGTGCAGCTGAGCATTCCTGGAAGCTGGGACTGCGCAGTGCCTCAGTCAGTCAGAGATGAATAATAATAATAAGGTGTAAGGTTAGATATATATCCTGAAGTTTCTCTTGGAGAGACTGGAAGAAACTTTACCGATCCTTCCCTTGGGGATTAAATAAATTGGACAGGATCCAAGGATTCAAGTGAGGCAGGTTTGTTGTGATTTGTGGAGTAACGGACTTGATAGACTCACCAGCTTCTTATATTTTAATATGCCAGCGAATGTGAAAGCTAAAAGATGAGGAGCTAGTTGTAATACTCCAGGATATTCTCTGAGTTCCCATAAAACCCTAAATCACACAGAGTCCCTTGTTTTCTCATTGAGTCTTGCTAAAAGTTTGTATCTGCCATTCGTGTCAGCAAATATAACTTCTCAGTTCTTTATAAATAAAAACTGGAGCAAGAACTGTGACCTCAATCCCATCATCCTCAATGTCTTAGTCAAACAAATAGTTGGCGTGTTTTCTTTCTCTCTTCCTGCTGCAGTGAACGAGGGTGAGAGATCACAGTCAGCAGCCTGGGACTTGTTTGGTTAGTGCTGTGTGAGTTGAATTGCAGTTTAGGATTTAGAGGCTGAGAATCCCAAATTGCTACTGCACTCACTTCTTTGGTTATTGCAGTTTAAAGAGGCTATTTTTCTTACATTACATATTTTCCTTACTCTCCTTTCTCATTCTGATCTAGCCCAATGCTATCAGAGAGATGGGGAATCCAGACTGTAATAATGTATAACTATTTGGTTTGTTGTAAATCGACTCCCTCAAAGCTGTCCTTGGTGGAAGAAGGTCCTGGATCCTAGGTTGCTTTAAAGACATTGCTGGGTTCCCAGCTTGGGATTTGGCAATTTATCAGATGTTTGTTCATGTAATTTTTAATAAACCATTTGTTTCACTTCCAGAGGCACTTGGCTGTGTAAATTCAAGCCGTCAAATGGTACACAATCTGTTTAACTGTCGCTGGGTAGGAGAGCAGCCAGTTTATAAGAGGCTTTGAGAATGTGGTGTTAGAATGTAAAGGAACAAAGTCCACATGCAGGCCTGCTTCACACGGCCTAAATGAACCCAGTTGTCTATTTTGTTGTTTTTGTTAAACATTATTTACAGTTTCTTTCCTCCTCGTATACAAGGAAAGTCCTGTAGTTTGTGGCCGGTGATTCAGCCTTCCACTGGCGGGTGGGTCGGTAACCCGAGGACACCGATTTAAAATAGTTATTGAAAGAAACGGAGGGGAAGTGAGGAGAAATGTTTTCATTCAGGGAGTTGTTGGGATCTGGAATGCATTGCCTGAAAAGGTGGTGGAAGCCGATTCGACAACAACTTTTACAACAACAACAACAACAAGATTCCATTTATAAAGCGCCTTTCACGTCAGTAGGACGTCCCAAGGCGCTGCACAGTTGGGTCATGACCCGAGCAGGGGGGAAATGGTCAGGGTGAGGGGAGGGAAGGGAGGGAGCGAGGAGGGGGAAGAGAGGCGAGAGGGGAGCTGAAGGCTCGGTCAAAGAGAAAGGTTTTGAGACCGGCCTTGAAGGAGGAAAGGGAGGAAGCAAGGCGAAGGCACTGGGGGATAGAGTTCCAGAGCCTGGGGGCTGAGAGGCTGAAGGCCCGACCACCGATGGTAGGGCGATTGGGGCGGGGGACGTGGAGCAGACCGGAGCCAGAGGAACGGAGGGTACGGGCAGGTAGGTAGGGGGATAGTAGGTTGGAGAGGTAGGAGGGAGCAAGGCCGTGAATGGCCTTGTAGGTGAGGATGAGGATCTTGAAATCAATCCTCTGGGGGATGGGGAGCCAGTGGAGGCGAGCGAGGGTGGGAGTGATGTGGTCCCGAAGCCTGGTGCGGGACAGTACACGAGCTGCAGAGTTCTGAATGAGAGTTTTAAGAGAGAAGCAGATAATTATTTGGTGAGTTTGCAGAGCTGTGGGGAGAGAGCGGGGGAGTGGGGTTGATCAGGGCTGTGGGGAGAGAGCGGGGGAGTGGGGCTGATCAGGGCTATGAGGGGAGAGCGGTGGATTGGGGTTGATCAAGGCTATGGAGAGAGAGCGGGGGAGTGGGGTTGACCAGGGCTATGGGGAGAGAGCGGGGGAGTGGGGTTGACCAGGGCTATGGGGAAAGAGAGGGGGAGTGGGGTTGATCAGGGATATGGGGAGAGAGCGGGGGAGTGGGGTTGACCGGGGCTATGGGGAAAGAGAGGGGGAGTGGGGTTGATCAGGGCTATGGGGAGAGAGAGCGGGGGAGTGGGATTGAATCTGATAGCTCTTTTCAAAGAGATGGCACAGACACGATGGGCCGAATGACCTCCTTTTGTGCTGTTACTGTGAAGCGCTCTGAGACGCCGTCCGGCGTGGAGAGCGCTATATAAATCCAACTTGTTGTTGTTAACGAGGATCAACTGAATGTACAGCTGTAGAGCAATCGCGTTGAGCTGTACTGTAGCAGTGCTTGGAGCCTGTGTGCTGGGGAGGCCTTGTAAAAGTGCTGCACGTCTGCATAACAATAAAAGCTATGGAGCCAGAATAATAATAACAATAATAATCCTTGCATTTGATATAGCGCTTTTCATGTCAGGAGGACGTCCCAAAGCGCTTCACAGAACACACTGTAAAGTGAATTGACTATATTTGTGGGCGAACGCGGCAGCCAATTGCGCACAGCAATGTCCCACAAACAGTTGTAGATTGAAAATGACCAATTTATTATTGTTTTGGTTTTGGAGGGATTATTATTAGGCTCTGTGTGGAGTAAGGAAACTTGCACGAGGTTTCGCCCTCTGCCTGGAATTGAACTCAGGTCTCTCACTTGCAAAGCGAGTGCTCTAACCACTGAGCTACAGGACTCCACAAAGAAGAGGTCGTTCAATCAATTAAGCTCCTCATTTCACAGACAGCTGCAACCGCTCAGTTGTTTTGTATCTAACCTACAAATTTGTTGTCCTATGAGTTTTGCAGTTTCCTGTACAGGAAAGCCACTTAAACCAAAGTGGAGGTTGCCAGACCCACAACATAACATGTAGAAGCAGGAGTAGGCCATTTGGCCCTTCGAGCCTGCCCCGCCATTCAATCATGGCTGATCTTCTAATCTAACTCCAGCTAATAACCTGACGCTGCCTTATCCCCATATCCCTTAATCCCTTTAGCAATAAGAAATTTATCTATCTCAGTCTTGAATATGTTCAAGGACTGAGGGTCAACAGCCCTTTGGGGTAGTAAGTTCCACACATTCACTGCCCTTTGAGTGAAGAAGTTCTTCCTCAACTCAGTGCGAAAGGGCTGCCTCTGATTTTAAGGTTGTGACCCCTGGTTTTAGTTTCTCCAACCGGGGAAACAATCTCCCACTATCTACTCTATCATGCCCTTTGATGATCTTATAGGTTTCTATAAGATCCCCTCTAATTCTTCTATATTCTAGAGAATATAGGCCCAAATTGGTCAGCCTATCCTCATAACTCATCCCCTTCATCCCTGGTACTAACCTAGTAAATCTACGCTGCACCCCTCCAAGGCAAGTACATCCTTCCTTAAATAAGGAGACCAAAACTGCACACAGTATTCCAGGTGTGGTCTCACCAGGGCCCTATACAGTTACAGCAAGACTTCCTTACTCTTATACTCTAATCCTTTCAGAATGAATGCTAACACACCGTTCGCCTTCCTAATTGCTTCTGCACCTGCAGACTAACTTTCTGTGATTGGTGTACAAGGACACCCAAGTCCCTCTGGACACTAACACATTCCAATCTCTCCCATTCTAAAAAATAATCCGCTCTACTGTTTTTGCTACCGAGGTGGATGACTTCGCACTTCCCTATATTATACTTCTTCTGCCACCTACCTGCCCAATCACCTAACCTATCTATGTCTCGCTGCATTTTTTTAATGTTGTCCTCTGTGTTGACACTTCCTCCTAGTTTTGTGTCATCAGCGAATTTAGATATATTAACTTCGATGTCCTCATCTAGATCGTTGATGTAGATGGTAAATAGCTGAGGCCCAAGGACTGATCCTTGTGGCACTCCACTAGTCACATCCCGCCAATCTGAAAAGGACCCGTTTATCCCTACTCTTTGTTTCCTACCCGTTAACCATTCCCCAATCCACGTTAATATGCTCCCCCCAATTCCATGGGCCCTTATCTTTTGGACTAACCTTTTATGCGGCACCTTATCGAATGCCTTCTGGAAGTCCAAATAGACCACATCCACTGACTCACCCTTATCCAGTTTACTCGAAAACCAGTGGCACAGGCCCCCTTTGGTGGGACAGCACACAGGGAAACAAGTGGTCCTATAAACTCCCTGTTCAGTAGCGGACTATATTTCACCAGCTATGCACCCAGTTGCTTAAAAACACATTCCCTCATGTCATCATTGTGGAGTCCTATAGCATAGTGGTTAGAGCACTCGCTTTGCGAGAGAAAGGATCTGGGTTCGATGCCTGGGCAGTGCGAAACGTTAGGCACTGACAGCATCACCATCCAAGGATGCACACTCCACCTCACTGAGCCAGTCCGGAATTTTGGCGTCTTGCTTGACCCTCAACTGTCCTTTCTACCCCACATCCATGCCATAATCCGCTCTGCCTTCCACTACCTCCTCAACATTGCCCCGGCTCTGCCACTGCCTCACCTCTCAGGCCACCAAAACCCACATACACTCATTCATAACATTGAGGCTCAACTATGCAACCTCCTTTCTTGTTGGGCTCCCCAACTCCTCCCTCCATAGGCTGCAGATCATCCAGAACTCTGCAGCCCGTGTCCTCTCCTGCACCAGGCTCCCCGACACTATCACCCCCATCCTCGCCCGACTCCACTGGCTTCCCGTCACACAGAGAATACAGTTCAATATTCTGGTCCTCACCTTCAAAGCCCTCCATGGCCTTGCTCCCCCCAATCTCTACGACCTCCTAACCCCCTACCTGCCTGCTCCTTCCGCTCAGCGGGTTTCAGCCTGCTTCACGTCCCCTGCCTCGCCTGGCCCACCATCGGCGATGGGCCTTCTGCCACTCTGCTCCCACCCTCTGGAACTCCAGACCACAGTCCCTCCTCAACCCTCCCTTGCCTCCTTCAAGATCCATCTCAAGACCCTTCTCTTCGACCATGCTTCACCTCCTTCCTCCACTGCCCTCCATCCTCCCCAATCCCGAACCCCAGCTCGAGTCCGAAACACTGACTGTGCAGCGCCTTGGGACATTCTCCTGACAGTAAAAGTGCGATACAAATGTAATTTTGTTGTTGTTGTTGTTGTTAGGCATGTTTCCTTACTCCACACACCTCTGTTTACCTACCAGTAAGTAGGAACCTGATTTTTAGTTGATTGGCAAATGGCTTTTTTTAATCCCTTAAAAAAAATTAATAGTTAGTCACTCAATACACGACTGTTTGTGGGGACAATGCTGTGTGTAATTGGCTGCCGCCTTTATCCCACAAAACATACAGTCAATTCACTTTACAGTATATTCTGTGAAGCGCTTTGAGACGTCGCAAAGACGTGATAAAGCGCTGTATCAAATGCAAAGATTATTATTATCAAAAGAATCCTTCCTTATTAAGTGCTCACAGGATCCCACTTCGATTAGGAAGTTGAAGCGTGTTAAATATCACAAAGGCAACCTATAAACCCAGATTAAGAAGCCCTGATCTGTGACTGAGTGTTGGTTGCTACCATGTGACCAGTATCGAAAGCTAAAGCTTTTAGACAACTTTCGGGAGATCAGCAGGAGAACCCCCAACCTGAATGGCTATGATAAACCAGGTTATATCTGTGGATGGAGGGAGAGTGAGGATGGCGGGAGCTGCTATGAATACCCTAGCAAGGAGGTTAAATGGGGGAGAATTGGAGCAATAAAGAATTAGTGGCAAAATAAACTAATCGAACAATGATCCAAAGCTCCTTCTTCTGACCTGAACACTGAACATACATTTTTTTAATAATCCTCAAATCCGAATTTCTCCTCTAACTGTGAAAGGTTTGTTCTAATGGAAGGGAATGTGACATTCCTGATTTCCTACATACATTTCACATTTAATAGTGCTGACGATTGCATTCTCTATCATTGCCTGCATGACAGTGAGTGTGTGTGTGTATTTTCCCAGAATCAGCACATTCCCTGTACCATTTTGTCTTTAAAATCGACTTCCATTTTATAAGGTAACAGTGATTTTTATTTGTGTTTCCTGTTTGCTTGAAATAGTGATTGAACCAGAGGAAAGCTAAAAGCTTGGGGTTTAACAGGCACTGAATGGATGAGACCAAGTTAGTCTTGTGCTACGAGTTTAACATCTAAACCAGGACACGGGGACTGGGATTGTAGCCAATGCACAGGCTGACAGGCAGTCGGATCAGGACTTGGACACTCTGTCGCTGAAGATGCTTACTGCTGGGTTTACATCCAGTGTTCTTTAAGATCAGATTTTAAAAAAATCTTTATGGATACTATGTGCTCACAAAATACAGTCGATTCACTTTACAGTATATTCTGTGAAGCGCTTTGAGACGTCTCGAAGATGTGATAAAGCGCTGTATCAAATGTAGTTATTATCAATACTGCTGCTTTCATCTGTTCATTACTGTTAGCAAAAGTAGTGTTTTCTGCTCTGTTCCCTCTAATGTACAAACAGTTAATAATAAGAGGAAGTTTTGAGAGGAAATGTGACTAATTTTAATACAAGGCCCAGTAAACATGGGAATGTCTACTGTACAGCTTGTTCACTGACCTCAAAACTTCACCTCATCTTGTAGAAAACTAGCAGCAGCCTAATCTGCTGTGGTTGGGTGAGGCTGAGCAGCTTTAGTTGTGTATTTCCAAAGCAGACACTTGGGCAGAGGAAAACCCTTTGATGTAGTTTCAGGATCTTCCAACTCCACTCAGTATAGCAGCGGCCGTTAAAATCCTCTGGTGTGATATTCTATGGAATCGTAGTGGTCAGAGCACTCAGCTCGCAAGTGAGAGGACCTGGGTTTGATTCCCAGGCGGGCTAAACGTTAGGCAATTTTCTTGTTAGCCAATTGGTGGATCGCTTTTCCCGGGGTAGTAATCTCTTAAAAATAATAATAATCATAATTATTTGGTCACTCAGTCCACCACTGTTTGTGGGACACTGCTGTGCACAATTGGGTGCCACGTTTCACCCACAAAATATACTGTCAATTCATTTTACAGTACATTCTGTGAAGTACTTTGAGATGTCTCGAAGATATAGCAAATGCAAAGATCATTATTTTAATGATCTACGCTGATATATTAAGCCACATACCTTAGTTACAGTGTGAAGGTCAGAGAACAGGAGCGATTGCATGTTGGATGGTGCAGTTGTTTAATGCTGTACTTTCACCTGAGTGTCAAGTGCAGTGACTGTATTCGTAGGCAAATAAATAACTGAACAAGCAGACAGGACCTCAGTTTTAATGTCTCGTCTTCAAATGAAAGCATCTCCCAACAATACAGCCATCCTGCCATATTGCCCTGCAGTGTCAGTCTTGACTGTGGGCTCAAAAGTCATCACATAGAACTTGACCCCACACCCAGAATTAAAAATATCACCCTCTGAGTCAGACTGTGAAGCTGTGGTCTCATCTTGTATGCTTGTCTCCTCAGCCATGGTCCTCGCTGCTCAGGAATTGGAACTCGCTTGCTGTCACTCACCCCGGCTACATGGCCTTCCTCACCTACGATGAAGTCAAGGCAAGACTCCAGAAGTTCATCCACAAACCCGGCAGGTAAGAGTTTGTAGGCTGCAGTAACATCTCAGGGGAGAGAGATCTCCACAACTATGTGCTGTCGGTTCATTTGAAATTCACAGTTTGTGCCGAAAGCAATTTATACTTCCTGTAAGTTGTGATTGAGTTAGAGTGTTAGAGCTCAGAGGGAGGCAATTTAGCACATCTGAAAGAGATAATTTTAGTTCCACATCCCCGCTTATCTCCCCATCACACTCCCCTTTTTATATTTTTCTTTTTCAAATATTTTCCTAACACCCTTTTAAAAGCTGTGACGATTTCTGTTTTGACTGTGGTTATTATAATAATAATCCTTGCATTTGGTATCATACCTTATCACATCATCAAGACAATTCAAGGTGCTTCACAGGATATACAGGTTTCACCCACAACAATACAAAGTCCCTACACTTTACAGTATATGTTGTGAAGTGCTTTGAGACGTTTCGAAGATGTAATAAGGCGCTCTATCAAATCCAAAGGTTATTATACTGTAAAGTGGAGTGACTGCATTTTGTGGACAAAATACAGCATCCAATTGTGCACAGCAGTATTCCAAAACAGCCGTGGATTGAATGACCTGTTGTTATTGTTAAGAGGGGGAAGAGGAAAGCTGTGGCTTGAAGTAAGCTCTGGAGACTGACCAAATGCTTCTTTCCTTCAGCTATATCTTCCGCCTGAGCTGCACCCGGCTGGGCCAGTGGGCCATCGGTTACGTCACTGCAGACGGCAACATCCTGCAGACCATCCCCCACAACAAGCCCCTCTTCCAGGCTCTGATTGACGGGTTCCGCGAAGGATTGTAGGTTACCAACTTCTTGAAAACTCAGCAGCTTTGATTGGAAATGAATGGCCTTACACTTTGATGATCCTTCATTGTTTTACCTGCTAACACCATATTGACTTATCTGCTCCCTCCACTCAGCAGGCTCCAGGCTGCTCCACACGCCCCACCCGGCCTCCCCCACCGTTGGCAGTCGGGTCTTCAGCTGCTCTGCCCCCACTCTTTGGAACGCCATCTTTCAGTCCCTTCGCCTCACTCCCTCCGTTGCCTCAATCAAGGCACATCTCGAAACCCTCCTCTTCGACTGCCCCTTTGGTCACCCTCCTACCCCCACCCTCCCTGCCCTCCACCACTCCTGATCCAAACCCCCACCTCTGGTCCAAATCCCTGATTGTCCAGGCCTTGGAATGTTCTCCTGACATGAAAAGTGTTGTGTAAATGTCAGCTGTTGTTGTTTCGCAAGCATGAAAAAAGCATCTTGTCACTAACGGATATAATTGCCAGAAGCAATGTTACTTTGTGCTCATCCAACATCCTATGCAAATGCCATTGAGCTTTGTTATTTCTCAGTTTGTGTGAATTATGGAAATACAGGTTTGTCTGTGACACAGTGAGCCAGCCCTGTAGTGCACTCACTTGCTATTATTCAAGAGATAGAGCGTGGGTAAACACTTGCTATGCAGGTAGTTGCTAGCACACATTCTCTGAGTGTCTAAATCATAGAAGATGGGTGTGCATTTTGTTATTTTTAGTAATATGTTTCTGCTTGTTCCTCATTCTGGCCATCCAACCTTCGGCGAGCCAGTCTTTAACCTTCAGTGTCATCAGAGGCGCACATTGGGAGTGTTGGGGTGTGGTGTGTGGGCATGTTGACTGTACATGTGAGATCAGTGTTGTGAATGTCAGACCTGCTTCTCTCCCTGCTCTAGCTACTTGTTTCCTGACGGACGGAGTCAGAATCCGGATCTGACTGGCCTGTGTGAGCCCACACCACACGACCACATCAAAGTGACCCAGGTAGGCAGTCGCTCACGCTGAGCTGCCGCTCTTTCAGTAGCTTTTAACAAAGTGACATTGCTCCTGGCAGCATTGTATTACTTAATGTGGATCATCTGTCAGTGCGTTGAGTTCAAAAGAATTTAAACCATGGTGATGTTCAACTCCAGGCTGCCAACCGCTCTAAAATGTCCAGCAGCCAAAGGAGGTAATCATTCCCCTCGCTCCTCCTCCAGTTTGCGAAGGGAGGTTTTAATAATAAATTCTTAATGTGTAGGATATCTTACTTACTGTTCCAATTATTCACTCCTTGTGAAATATGTGATGCTTTTCTGGAAACTACTGCAAATAATTCTTTTTATGTCACTGTGAGAATACAATAGGAGAAAGCATTTAATTCCCCGAGCTTTATCCGCAAACAGTCCAGTGTTTCATGGTTTAAGTAACCCACGATTGCCCCATTGTTTTCCCAGCGTGCTGTGCAGCGCTCATTGTGTGATATGACTATCAAGTATTTAATGTATTGAATTGCACGAAGTCCACGCCAGTCTTCACTAACTCAGCCTGTGCCTGCCTGCTCTGCTAGGAACAGTACGAGTTGTACTGCGAGATGGGCTCTACCTTCCAGCTCTGCAAAATCTGTGCTGAAAATGATAAGGACGTGAAGATCGAGCCGTGTGGTCACCTCATGTGTACGTCCTGTCTGACATCCTGGCAGGTAGGAAGTAAAGCAGCTCAATGGGACATTAGCATCAATAATGTGTAAGTTGTGTGTAAACTGTAGCTCAGCGGTTAAGCACTTGCCTTGCAAGCGAGAGGACCTGGGTTTGAGGCCCGAGCAGGACGAAACCTTAGCCAAGTTTCCTTACTGCAGACGCCTCTGTTTACTTAGGGAACCCAGTTGTTAGTCAATTGGGGGATCACTTTTCAGGGGGCAATAATCTCTTCAAATAAATAACAGTAATTTGATCACTCAGTCCACGACTGTTTTGGGACACTGCTGTGTGCAATTGGCGGTCATATTTCACCCATAAAATATAGTCACTTCACTTTACAGTATATCCTGTGAAGTGCTTTGAGATGTCGCAAAGACATGATAAGGCGCTAAATCAAATGCAAGGATTATTAAGGATTCTTATTATTTATTATCTACCCGATTCTCATTCCTGTTCTGTGTAGAGCAATCTCGAGAGCAGATATCAGGGTGTCTGAACCCTGTCTGTTCTCTCGTTATTAAGGTAACCTCTTGCTTGTCCTGATGTGTGTCTGGAGATGAGAGGACAACGCTCTGGAACCCTATCCCGCAATCACTCCGCCTCACCCCATCTCTTGCCTCCTTTAAGTCCTGTCCTCTTTGACCATGCCTTCAGCCACCCTCCCCCCCGCCTTCCATCCCTCCTGACCCCAACTCCCAGCTCAGGTCCAAAATCCGATTATCCAGCGCCCAGGAACACCTTTCTGACATTAAGGGCGCTACGCAAGTGTAATTTGTTGTTGTTGTTGTAGGAATCGGAGGGTCAAGGCTGCCCATTTTGTCGCTGTGAGATAAAGGGCACTGAGCCAATCGTTGTGGACCCATTTGACCCCAAGGACGGACCAGGCCACGGCCGTCTGGGGATGGAGGCCATGATGTCACCCTTGTACGACGATGATGAAGATGAACGAGGAGAAGACATGCTGTTCATGATGAATAAATTGTCTGTTTCCAAGGTGACACTTACTCGCTGGCCCTTTTGTCTGTCTCTTCCTCTCAGCGAAGCTTGTGAAGGAGTCACTGGCACCAGTGCAGTTCCAGGCTCATTCCTCAGACAAGTATCTAATCAAACAGTAACCATTCTATGTGACTAGAAAGCCTTCAAGAGAATGAACCCCTTAGCCCTACCCCAACCCCGCTGGCCTTGTGACACTCTCGCTAGTTGCTCTGAAGGCTCTTTCCCCTCGTTCTCTGCTGGTTTGGACTTTGCCGACATCTCTGGTGGTGCTCTGCTGCCACCTGCAGCCGGCAGGGTAAAAGCAGGCAGCAGCTCCACCTTTAAACACCTTTGTGTTCAAAATGACTCACATTTCCCTAGAAAAAAACAGTCACTACACATGACAGTACATTGTGACGTGATGAAGCGCTATAAGAATACGTCCTTTTTATTATCTTACTTTTTTTCTGTTTGCTGTTAGGATTAACTGCTTTGCTTTGCAACGTAGTGGCAGCATGTGTGTGGAGTTCAGGCACTGCATGTGTTACATACCGATGACACTGATTCTTTGAGATTTGCTCAAGTTTTTAGGTTATTGTTTGTTTCTCAAACAGACTGAGCGGCCGGCATCTCCAGTTTCCCCGTCTCCCAATTCCGCCCTTCCTCCAGTTCCTCCACGCTTAGACCTCCTACAGTACCGACCTTCCACCAACTCCAGTGCTCCCAGTGCCCAGTGTGTCTCACCCAAGGTAGGCGTTCAGAGCGTATTGCTGGGTGATGCTTCCAAGTGTGGGTGCATGGGCAGGAAACAGGGTGGGAGGGGGCCAAAATATTCCTGTAGCTCAGTAGTTAGTGCACTTGCCTTGCAAGCGAGAGGACCTGGGTTTGATTCCCTGGCAGGACGAAACATTAGGAAAGTTTCCTCACTCCACACACCTTTGTTTACCAAGCAGTAAGTCGGAATCCGGTTGCTCGTTGATTGGCAGATCGCTTTCCGGGGGTAATAATCCTTCAAAAAAAAGTTAATAATTTGGTCATTCAATCATCAACTGTTTGTGGGACGCTGCTGCGCGCAAGTTTCCGCGTTTCTCCCATAAAACATACAGTCACTACAGTATATCCTGTGAAGCACTCCACATGAAAAAGTGTATGTTAAATGCAAGTATTATTGCCTGCCCTTTCCCCACGATGAATTATTGTATTTGAATGTGCGAAGCATTGATAAGCAGAGTGTAACTCTTTCTCTCTCTGTCCCTGCTCAGGCCTCCACCAGCGGTCTGCACAAACAGGACAAGCCTTTACCTCTTCCTCCTCCTCACCGCGACCTCCCGCCTCCCCCACCAGACCGTCACCTGGCCCCGGGCACTGATTCCCGGGTGCAGAGGCGGCCATTGCCCAGCACACCCAGCGACCTGCTGGCCAGAGACCGCCCGCCCCCGGCACCTCCCAACCGCGTGGGGGAAACCTGGCAATCGCGACCCCTGGGGGCCAAACCCCCACTGCAGACCCTGACTGCAGGGGACCAATGGGCGGGACGAGAGTTATCAAACCGACACTCTCTGCCCCTGGCCCTCTCAGCCCAGATGGACACCAGACCTGAGGCCGTTAGGCACAGCAGCTCTCTCGGGCTGGAAGTTACAACGGTGAGCCATTCATTTAACTCTTGTTACTCTTGGGTGTTAGATTCAGACCTGGTAGCGAGGACTGTAGCATGATGGTTAGGAGCTGGGTTCAGTTCCCGAGCAAGACGAGACGTTGGGCAAGTTTCCTTACTCCACACGACTCTGTTTAGCTAGCAGTAAGTAGGAACCCTGTTGGTGAATTGCTTTTCCGGGGGAAAAATCCCTTCGGTTAAAAAAAGACATCGAAATTAGCTGGAGGAGAGTCTGGACTCTGCAGGAGTCTGGACAGCATCTACTGAAAGCCTGCAGTCTCCGAGCTTAACCTATATTTATTGCTGACAGATACAGTGTTCGTGTAAAGCTGTGTAGTTTGTCAGTAGCTGAAGAGTTGGGATGTGATAAGGAGGTGGATTTGCCTGGCAGTGCTGACAGCAGCTAATTCTAAGTGATTGAAGCCAGTTACCTTGGAGAGGACAGAAGAATGAAACTAACAGCTTCTTCTTCCTGTTTAATGTGACGTGCTTGCGGCTTGCACACAGAGTGAGCTTGAGTCCAGCTCTGGCTGTCTTGGACTGTGTTTGGTTCTAAAGTTTATCTGTCCGCTCCCTCCGCTTGCGGGCTCCAGCCTGCTGCACGTCCCCTGCCCGGCCCACCCCACCATCAGCTCTCTGCCCCCACACTTTGAATCTCCATCCCACAGTCCCTTCACCTCCCTTCTTCTTTTGCCTCCTTCAAAGCACATCTCAAGACCCTTCTCTTTGACTCTGCCTTCGGCCACCCTCCTATCCCCATCCTCCCGCCCTCCACCCCTCTGATCCCCCCAGCTCGGTTACAAATCCCTGACTATCCAGCACTTTGGGACGTTGTCCTGATGTGAAACGCGCTGTGTAAATATCAGTTGTTGTTATAATTACCACTTGCTGATGAGACTGAGTCCGCAGCGTGTGTGAGGAACCTGAGCAGGAGCCGCTCTGGTCTTTGTACTGAGCAGCTGTGGAGACTGGGGGAGGCTCTGCTGTTGAGCGGTGCGGCTGGGGTTAGGGTGGTCAGGGCAGGGAGAGCCAGTGCCCAGCTCTAACTCACTGACCTCTCACTGTGGCAGGGTTACCCCATGAGTGACATCACAGAGTACGACCGCTCCAAGGTCAAGCCGTCCATGTCAGCCAACGCCATCTACTCGCTCGCTACACGGTGAGTGCTGCCCAGAGACACCATTCCCTCTGGGGGGTGGTGGAGCCAGAACAAGGGGTAACATCTTTAAAATTAGACAGAGGCCATTTAGGAGTGAAATCAGGAAGCATTTTTCTATGCAAAGGAAATGTGGAATGCACTGCCTGCCCCAAAAATGCTGTGCGTTAGGGCCAGATCCATTCAACTTTTCAAGACTGAGGTGGATAGATATTTGTTAGGTCAGGCTATCAAGAGCTGTGGGGTAAGGGAGGGTAATTGGAGTTGAGGTAAAGATCAGCCATGATCTAATAGAATGGCAGAACTGGCTTGAGGGGCTCAATGGTCTCTTCTTGTTCCTGTGTTCCACAGTGGCTGGTGTACGGAGTAACTTAGTAACTTAGAGGAGAATTTTTATTCCACCTTACGTCAGAGTATCCTAAAAGAGCTTCATAAATAATTATTGTCTGATTATTGTTTCAGTTGATGAGAGTTACTCATGGCATAACTGTACAGTGTCACTGTTTATACAGTGGCGAGTGAGGGTAATGTAAGACACTGTTACTCAGGGACATATTGCAGAGTTTGAGTCGTGCTGACGAGAGATCAGAAATGAGATTATTTTCTGCCGTGTGATGTGCGCAGGCCACTGCCAAAGCCTTTAAACACAGAGGAACGTTCAGAGAGCAGTGATGATGAAGATACGGACTACATGACTCCATCCTCACTGCCAGTGCACGCCCCGCTCTGCGCTACGTCCTCCCTGGATTCCAGACTCTCTGTACAGGCGCTAAGAACCTACAACTATGGGTAAGTGCTGGTTGGGATTACTACAACAACAATTTGCATTTAGATAACGCCCTTCACACCGGACAGCGTCCCAGAGCGCTTCCCTCAGTAACAGAGTGCTTGAACTCCTCGTGCTGCTTGTGGAGTTCTGTAGCGTAGTAGTTAGAACGCTCGCCTTGCAAGCGAGAGGACCTGGGTTCGAAATGGTAGGCAAGTTTCCTTACTCCATAGACCTCTGTCTCCCTAGCAGTAAGCAGGAACCCGCTTGTTAGTCGATTTGCGGATCGCTTTTCCGGGGTTAATAATCCTTTTATTAAAAACATTTTTTGAAAAATTTGGTCACTTAATCCACAATTGTTTGTGGGACGCTGCTGTGCATAATTGGCTGCCGAGTTTCGCCCACAAGTTATACAGTTAATTCACTTTACAGTATGTCCTGTGAAGCGCTTTGAGACGTCTTGAAGATGTGATAAGGCGCTGTATCAAATGCAAGGAATGTTATCATTACCTGTGTAACAGAGTGCTGGGACTCCTCATGCTGTTTATCCAGGGGACTGGGCGGAGGGCGCTGTGGCTCTGTGATTGATCATTGGGTCTTTTATCTTTTTATTAGAATGTTGTCGACAGAGCCGGACGCACTGGGACCACCAAGCGAGACATTCACAGCCTCGTTTCAGACACTCAACGCTGACTCACAGCTGCCCACAATAGGTAACATCTGGGCACTCGGCCTGTGTGAATTGTGTTATGTTTAGGAAGCAGATACAGCAACAACAATAAGAAAGTGGTGAAAAATGTAGGTTTTCTCTTATGAAAAGCAGAGCCTTGTTTTAAACGTGTCGGTCACTCGCTTGCATGTTCACAGCTAATCGTGGAGTACTGTAGCTCAGTGGTTAGAGCGCTCGCCTTGCAGGCAAGAGGATCTGGGTTTGATTCCTGGAACTGGGTGAAACATTGGGCAAAACATTGGGAGTTTTGATATGTTTTAACATTACAAGCGCTGTAGCAAATGCAAGAATTATTACTTCTGTCCCAATCACTTCACCCTTTTAAGTAGTGTTCACCACCATTATTCCTTTTTTGAAAAAAAACTGAGCAGTGACAAAGTCCTGTGGTTTATTTTTGCTATGCTTTTTTCTACAGAGATGGAAAGGTCTGAAGACCTGAGGTTAATGGTTGTTCTATGTGTACTCCGGTTAATTCCTTGCCCTTTTGTTACTTTGCTCACCAGTTCCTGAATGGTGTGTTTGCTGAGTTTATTATAAGTCAGTCAGTTTTCCTTCACCTTCTCCTAATTTTTCTTCTTCCTGATGTTAGTGGCTCATTCTGCCCCTTCCACCAGAGCCCAAATACTAATTGTTGGCACCTAGCTTAAATCAGGTAACAGCTCAGACCTGAGCTATTCCTAGCCCAGTTGCTCCATATCACACTGCAGGCTAATTATTATCAATGGAGTCCTGTAGCTCAGTGATTCGAGTGCTTGCCTCTCAAGCGAGAGACCTGGGTTCAATTCCTCGCAGGGCGAAACCTTGGGCAAATTTCCTTACTCCACTACACACGCCTAATCCCTCAAGAAAAAAAACAATAATAAATTGGTCACTTCAATCCACGGCTCTCTGTGGGACGTTGCTGTGCGCAATTGACTGCTGTGTTTTGCCCACAAATATACAGTCAATTCACTTTACAGTATATTCTGTGAAGCACTTTGAGACGTTGAGAAGACATGAAAAGCGCTATACCAAATGCCAGGATTATTATTAATGAAGTTTGCCCTTTCCTTTGATCGACTACTAGAGTCCTGTAGCTCAGTGGTTAGAGTCCTCGCCTCAGCAAGCAAGAGACCTGGGTTCAATTCACGGGGAGGGCGAAATGTTGGGCAAGTTTTCTCATTCCACACTCCTCTGTTCACCCAGCAGTAAGTCAGAATCCGCTTGTTAGTCGATTGGTGGATCGCTTTTTGGAATAATAATCTCTTCAAAAAAATTAATAATGATAATTTGGTCACTCAATCCATGACTGTTTGTGGGACGCTGCTGAGCGCAATTGGCTGCTGCATTTCGCCGGCAAAATACACAGTCTGCACTTTACAGTGTATCCTGTGAAGCGCTTTGAGAAGTCCCGAAGACGTGATGAGGCGCTGGGTCAAATGTAAAGATTATTATTAATCGTGTTCTTCTCACTCTGCAGATAATGGTGATTGTATCAGCTGTGACGGTGCCGAGCGGGAGGAAAGTGTTGAGGACGGAGCTTACGACTTCCCAAAAGCCCCAGTGCCGCTCCCGCCTGCTCGCAGAACACTGTCGGATACTGCGGCGTTCCGAAGAATAGCCGCTGATCCTGATCCCTCAATTCCCACTGCAGGTGAGTGCAGCTCAGCTCAGAGAGCTACGTCGGGCAGCGACCTCAGCGCCTCCAGTTATACAGCGAGCTGGCTCGGTGTCTGCATGTCTGATTGATCCAGCTTAGAGCTTTAAATACAAATGTTTCGCTTACAGAATACATCGTCAATTCACTTTACAGTATATTGTGTGAAGCACTATATCAAAGGCAAGGATTTTTATTATATTAATTAATGTGGCATTTTCGTCCTATCATTTGTTCTGTACAATAGCTGGTTCCAGCCATTTCCAGTCACAAACCCCAAACTTGCTGATCAGGACTATTGATGTTGGGGCTGAATTCTTTTCAGTGGCTGATCGGAGGCCTCATGACCGTCTTTATGCTGTTTGTATTCCCTCAGATTCCTCCGTGCCCGAAAGACCTCCCAAACCGTTACCTCGCCGGATGAATTCTGAGCGCAAGGCCACTCCCAGCTGCTTAAACAGCTGTAACGCTCAGCCTTCTCCCACTCTGACTGCAGAGATTGATTGCCTGCTGAGCCAGGGCTACTCCTATCAGGACATTCAGAAAGCTCTGCTCATCGCACAGAACAACGTGGAAATGGCCAAGAACATTCTGCGGGAGTTTGTGTCCATCCAGTCCTCTGCGCACATTGCCACATAGCCGTCCGTCTGCCCCTGTGAGACAGGACACTGGCTCGGGCAGCCTGACCCTCCTCGTGGGTAGGGTCTGGTGTGAGCTTTGGCTGGAGCGCCACTGAGCACCTCTAACCTGCTGCCTCATTGACTTCAATAACCAGGTCTGTGCAATTACTGAATTACTAAAGGACAACTGCTCCCTGCCTTGTGCCTGCTCCGGCTGTGGGTGTGTGTCGGGGGGGGGGAAGAAGGTGTTTAAAAGTTTTCCAGTATGTGAACGAATCGTTAAAACCTGTGACCTTGACCAAGGTGTGTCTTGAAGAGGAGAGTTAACATACCCAGGAATGCCAGGTTCAGTGTGTCTGATGTCTGGCTCATTCAACAGGGATGTGTAGTGACCAGATTAATGGCCGTCTACCTAAAATGGCAGCAAGGTTTTACAAAGGATTGGTTTTCAGATCTCCTAGTTTCAGACTCCAATAACATCACGCTGGGTCTGTTTACCCCACCTCCTTCCCCACCCCCACCCTGAGATGCAGTGAAGGTTGGACCAATAGATCCTACCAGTAGCCCAGTGTGTATTGGTCTGTCATTCACAAGAAAACCAGTGGTCTATTTTTCTAAAAAAAGGCAAAATAATTTGCACAAAGAAACCTGTAGTTAAGAGGTTGTATTTATACAGTATGAGGTTGGGAGTGAGAGGTGGGTGGGTGTGTACATATTTGAGAGAATTTTAACCTGAGGCCAGTGGTCCCAAAGTGAACCTAGTGATATCCTAACATGTAGCTGAATAGGTTTCCTATCAAATTGGAATCATTTGGATGTTTCTCTTTGTCCATGGGATTAGCACGAGATTTGAATGTAAATATGGGAGAGAGGGAGAAGAGTCAGGTAGGTGAATGTTCCTTTGCCTCATATCAGCATTCACTGAGCAGGTGCTGCGTACCTTCCTCAGTCCATCTCTGCCTCGGCCCGGCTCAGCTCAACCCCATTGTCACTGGTTTGCCCGGATATGTTTGCGCTTCAAACAACACTTTCTCCAAACCTGCAGTTTAAGAAAGAATCCATTTGTGAATTGTTCTGTCACATGTGAGTGTTGCAATTGCTCTGGTGCCTCTGCAGAGGCCTGCAATCCTACCTGGCTTTAGCCTGCAGCATCGTTTTGTCTTAAAATTTGAAATTGCGCAGATGGATTTAAGAAATCTGCAGAATTCAGCTCGATTTTAAATATTAAGTCGCTTTGTGTTGAACTCCGCCACTGTTAGGCGCTCTGGGCCGCTAGCCTGTGTGAGAGGCGCGGTGTAAAATGCAAGTCGTTGTTGATGATGGTCCCAGACGCTGGGGAGGAGGTGGCATGAGAGGCTGCGAGTGTGCGGGCTGTACCAGGGGGCTGATTCTACCTAGTCTGAGCATTTTACATACTACACAGGGAAACTCTGATAACATGTCAGCTCAGAGGAAAATAGCTCAAATGACTACTTAACAGATTTGGCTAGCTTTCCAAAGTACAATTTCTCCAAAGTACTCAAATAGCTGGGATATTGAGGGAGTGATTAGTTTATGTGGGGTTAATGACTTATCCCAGGTGCCCGTTGTCAGAGTCCTCACTGTAAAAGGTTAATTGATCAATTTGTGTGAGTTGGATCAGGAGCTGTTCTGTTCCATGCTCGGAGCAGCTGCTGTTTACCTGCAGTGAGGCAGGACATTCCTTCCCCGTTGTGTGTGAGTTCCCTCTGGTCCTGCTGAAACACAGAGCTGCCCGGGACTCTCGTCACCAGCAGCTGGTTGTAGGCTGGTTGCAGTGTGTTGCGGCTCAGTCAGGTGAAGTCATTTGGTTTGCGTTTGCTTAGTACAAAAAACTGACATCCAGGCACGAACACACAACCGCCTGCAGCAGTGAAACAAAACAGCAAATTTAAATTGTATCAAGGCGTCAAAATAAAGTGTTTCCCTTTTCATTACTTTACAGCCCCAAAATAATTGTGATTTTTCACACCTGTTGAAAGGGTTGGCGCTCAATGTGGACCTTCTTTGTGGCACAGGCTGATTGATCATTAGTTGTAATGTCCCACTGCACATGTGGCACCTTCCCTCTCCCTCTCTTTGCTTGTGTCTGACTTTGCCCGTCAGTTGCTGGGATCAGGTTCTTGGCTCATCATTGTTCTAAGATCATCCTTGCGAGTTGCCTTAGAATGTCAGTATCTGTCAGGATTATCGTGGTCCCTTGTCCCATCGTTCTTGATCGTGACCTGGTGTTGTGTATTCAGCTGTAATGTTGTGCCTGTGGGAATGGGGAGGAAACTCTGTCTCTCATAGTTGTACAGTTGAAAACTAGTGTGTCCTCTTGCCAACAGAGCATGTGGGGAAAGATGAAGTGAATCCAATTATCAGTCAGTCATACATTAGAAATTCACTTGAATGGGGGTGGGTGGGGGTATTGAATGGGGGTGGGGGTAATGGGTGGGGTTATTGAATGGGGCTGGGGGTATTGGGTGGGGTTATTGAATGGGGGTGGGGTATTGAATGGGAGTGGGGGTATGCAGTTGGTAGCTAAGGATCCAAATGTGCCTTTTATAAACTACTGTTATTGCATCTCGTTGATTTGTAGTTAAGTCACTGGTTGGCACAAATAACTGAACTGAACTTGCCGTTCACCTCCTTTATTTTTTCTCTCTCTCTCTCTCCCCTTTGTGTGCTGGAATACTGATCACGGTTGATCATTCATCTGCTGTGAATGTCAGTAAAAGATGTGAAAAATTGAAATGTTATTAATGTAAAAAGAAAACATTTTTATTAACCAAAGTTGCAGAGTATTTAGTTATCTTCCCCGGAGCTGCCAGTCACAATGCCAGAATCCGTGATGCTTTTTTTTTCCCTCTCTCCTCAATGACTACTGAGTAACTAGTTTTTATTCCAGACAAACATAGCATTTACCAACTTAATTGTCCTCTCGCTCCAATCTCCTGCATTGGAATAAAATCAGGTTCAGCTTATTCCATTCCAGTTCCTACCAAAGCTGTGCTGAGGAGAGGGCGAGTGGTGGACTTGGAATGGAGACTCCCCGGACAAAATCATTTTTTTACTCAAGGTGTTGGGGTTAGTTAATTATGTTGATCAATGGCAATCTGTGTGGATTTAGCTGGTTAGACACCAACAGTCCCCAACGCACACTCTGGGTCCCCCCAAACCTTGGCTCTTGCCAACCTGCGCCTAATGCTTTCTGGAATTAGATAAGCAGGATGTGTCCCTCCAGGGAGCGACGGGGTGGCATTCCATTCCAACAATGTATCTCTGGGATTTCCATGTGTAGATGGGATACATGGAATTCTCAGCTTGGTTTGACTGCTCGTAAGCACGGTGATGGGTTTCCACGTGTGTCAGACACCTGGCTGACCAAAAAAAACAATTGATTATCTCACTGTAGCTGTCACATAGCCATTGTCTCCCACACCTGCCGCTCACAATTTGATGAGCTTCACGAGTTGCTCTCTCCACCTCACTGGGTGAAACGCCATCGAATCCGTCAGGGAAATGATCTGCTGCGAGAACCTGCGGTGTCAGCCACAGCTCAAGAGGCTTCCACAATCCTAAACTCTGAGCCAAGAGTGAGGAATGTGAGGGAGAGAAAAAAAGGACCAGACCTGTAGGAAGGGAGGTCAACTAACCCAGGATCGGAATAAAACCAGACGAGGTTTCCTGTAGAATGTATGAAAGTCTCTGGTTAAACTAGAGTCAAGCATGGGTTCTTCCTACCCCAGTAGTGTGACTTCCCCTTGCCCTGCAGTACGGGAAACTTGAGGGGTACATGTACCCCACCCTGTGGGACCTGCTGGGAGATTCGCCGTGTCGTTGTACCTAGCACTGAGGACTCCTGAACTAGCAGCCAAGAGCATTAACCTTGCCAGTGCGGCCTTTGTAACTTCCAAAGTGCCCGTGGGGCCCTGGGTGTCACAGGAGAGAGAGAACTCTCTGAACTTTCATGCGTTATTATTGTAAATGTAGAAATGTACAGAATCACTGGATGTTTGTTGTGGTATTTTTAATAAAAATACTGCAACGTTTTAAGATGTTACTTTGAAATTGCTACTGTGGTCCACGATGGGGTTAAACTAACGACAGGTGAGGGCCGGCCAGACCAGATACATACCTGTGGCCTTCACCACAGAGGTGATCCATGTGACATGTAATGCCCAGTATACGTGTAGGTGTGTATACATACACATAAGCGTGTCTGTATATGTATGTGTACACATAAGCATGTCTGCACACGTGTGTAGACACATGTTCATGCACTCCCTTGTTAGTCTTGACCATCTATTTCAAATGTTTAATTTCTTAAGANTTTTTTTTACAANTTTTTTTCTGCACTGACGTAGGCAACTTTTTATGATGACCTTTCACTTTGTTCAGGGTTTATGTTTGGCTTTGCGATGTATGATATATGTCATTGTTTTTTAAACCTCTAACCTCATGGCAAATTACAAAAGTTGTGCAATTAATTTATATTCATAAGAGCTCTCTGACTGTTAGTAAGTAAGTGTTTAAGGAATGATGAATGGAACGTGCTATTGTGAACTGATGTAATAAAGTTGTACTTAAATTGCAACCTTACACTTATTTCTGGCTGTTTATTCTGGATGCACTTTTTTCTCCCTCTTTACCACACAGTCTGAGGTTATTTGATCCATTGTTTTAGTTTTGACGTTTGATCTTCGATGGTCATCTATCCTAATCCCAAATCGCTGCTCTTTCCCTTACCCTCTAATCCACTTCCTCTGCATGTGCATCTTATTCCCTTTGAGGTGCTCCAATAATCACCCCCTGGCAATTCATTGCCTGCTCTGACAACTCTCTCTAGTGACTTGGGTGCTTGGTCTCATTGTTGGTCAGACTCCTTGAATGTTTCTGGGTTTTCATGACTTTCATCCCCAGACAATGATCTGATCCTGACGTCTTGCAAATAGGAATAGGCAAAAGCGGCTTCTGATTCCGGAATTCTGCACAGCGGTGAGTGTCCAGCAGGTGGCACTAGGCTCCATGCTGTGTAATGGTGCCCAGGTCCTCGTGCCTAATACTCTCTGGAATTAGGTAAATAGGGTGTGTTCCTCCAGAAAGAGAGGGTATTCCATTCCAACAATCTTAGCTCTGGGATTTCCATGTGGACGTGGGATGCATTGAATTCTTAGCTTGGTTTGGAGACTCTTAACCAAGGTGACGGGTTTCCACGTCTGTCAAGACAAAGGATTAACCAAAAACGAGTCTAATGACAGGCATCCAGTTGATGGAGGTTCAAAAGCTGAAGCATCTAATTCCTGCTGATTGTTTAATATGTCTAACAGAGAGTTGCTCCAGTATGTGCTGAGTGGGTGGAACCTGGGACAACTTTGCCAATAAAATACATGCTCGTGGATACTATTTTTAGTAACTTTTGAACTTTTTGCAGTAGTGTGATTTGAATGTCTTATTTATGTTGGCAGTGGTTTGATAAGTTCTGTTTAGCCTGAACACATTTTGAGTGTGTGAGATCAGTTATGTTCAGCTCCCTTTCCCCCTCACCACTTGCACACATTAATGTATAAAGTGGACATGTTTAGTGAGCAACTTGAATTTTCTAAGTGGATCTGTGCTGTAAATGTAACTGTGTTTGTGGGCAATTTACTAGCGACCTCACCTTGTTTAACACACAATTGGTTAAACCGTTGGGTTGGCCTCCTGATGCTACTCCGGTCGCTCCTTGGAATTTCCTTCCGCCTGTCCTATCCACGAAGTCCCTGCCTCCAGTCACTTTCCCCCAGCTCAGCGTTGTGCTCAACCACTGTCAAACGCTCTGGGACGCTATCCTGCATGAGGGGTGCAGTGTAAATACAAGTTGTTGTTGTTCGTGCTCAGTGGATGCACAATCCACCGCACTGAGCCAGTCCGGAACCTTGGCATCTTGTTTGACCCTCACTTGTCTTTTCTACCCCACATCCATGCCATGGCCAGCTCTGCCTTCCCCACCTCCTCAACATAGCCCGGCTCAACCACTGCCTCACCCCTCAGGCCGCAGAAACCCTCATCCACGCAATCATCATATGATTGCGTGGATGAGGGTTTCATATGCTCATCTACACCAACTCCCTGCTTGTCGGCCTCCCCAACTCTTACCTCCACAAGCTGCAGATCATCCAGAACTCTGCAGCCCGTGTCCTCTCCCGCACCAGGCTCCATGACCCCATCACCCCCACGCTCGCCAGCTCCAGTGGCTCCCCATCCCCCGGAGGATAGAGTTTAAAATCCTCCTCGCCTTCAATGCTCTCCAACGGCCTTGCTCCTTCCAATCTCAGACCTGTTAACCCCATGGTCAGTCTGTCCACTCCCTCCACTCAGCGCAGCCTGCTCCACATCCCCATCGGCGGTCGAGCCTTCAGCCTCTCTAACCCCACCCTTTGGAACTCCATCCCACAGACCCTTCGCCTAGCCCCCTCCCTCGCCTCCTTCAAGGCCTATCTCAAGACTCTCCTCTTCAACTGCGCCTTTGGTCATCCTCCTACTTCCGCCTTCCTTTATCCCCCCCCCCCCAAGCTGTGGGCCAAATGCCTGACTGTCCAGTGCCTTGGGACGAGCTCCAGACGTGAAACTTGTATACAATTCTATTGTATTTGTCATTGTCCAGTTTTACACCTTTGGGCTGGAATTACTCATAAAACGATGACTTCAAATTTGAAGGTTTCGCAAAATTCTTAAATTCACCTTATTTTCGAAAACTTTTTTTTCTGAAGCTTTTTATGAACTGGCTTACAATCGAAGCCTGAATTGTACATTGTGCAGATGGTCTGAATCCAAGAACAAGTGGGATTCCGAGGCTCTGATCACAAAGGTTCCACTTTCTCTGCAGTGGAGCAGGACAGACCTGTGTGAGTTTAACTCATTCCTCTGCTGGTGACAGCTGCATCTCCAGGTCTGCTTTACAGACAATTTAAATGTTCACTTAAATGTGTTATAATTGAGTGAGAAATGAGCAGAATAATTGTCAGCCTTCCAGCTCGTTTCCTGAGCTCCAGCTCAGTTCTTCATTTAATTAAGTTGCTGAATTTCACCCCAGTCACAGGCTGGGGATCATTACTCTCAGACCTCATCTGCACTGTTACTGCTGATGTCCTGAGCTGCCTTGTCTGGCTGTGAGTCCCTCTGTGTGCTGCCAAGACGTCAGTCACAAATGCATTCATAGAGGATGTCATTTGTCACCTGCGAGAAGTTTAGGGTTGAGCAGTGGAAGCAATAAACTGCAGTAAATTAGAAAATCGTCTGGAAATGTTTTGTTAAAAAAACCTGTTTCTGAGCTCACACTTTAATCTACTCCAACAACAGAAACAAATTGCATTTACACAGCGCCTTTCACGTCGGGAGGACATCCCAAGGCGCTGGACAGGCAGGGATTTGCACCTGAGCTGGGGGTTGGAGTTGAGAGGGGCGGAGGGCAATGAGAGTGGGAGGGCGAGGATAACCAAAGACACCATCAAAGCGAAAGGTCTTGAGACAGGCCTTGAAGGAGGCAAGAGAGTGAGTGAGGTCTAGGGGCTCCGGGAAGATAGATTTCCAGAAGGTGGGGGCAGAGTCTGAAGTCCTGACCACTGATGATGGGGCAGGCGGTGAGTGTCTGCCGGGTGGAGGAAGGTGAGAACCCAAGCCTTGGCCTTTACCTATTCAAAGTTTTCACTTGATTATTTTGTTAACAACCTGTTTTGAGCACAAGTTCCATGTATTTGAGGTTGTCGAGGCAAGTCAGGGAGTACATGGTGTTGACGTACTGAAACTGTTAACAGTGTACGAGACACCCGCCCAACAGCAGCCACATGTAACCACTCCTGCTTTAGGGACCAAGATTATTTTGAATCGCTGCTGTTTCATTCCCTCTTCCCATCTCCCTGTCCAAGTTGCTATTCCAAGCAGCCCTCTCTCCTCTGTCTCCTTTGGAAAACTCTTCTTGTTGCCAGAGGGCAAGGTTTAGGCCCCAGCGGTCACTGAGCAGAGAGAAGAAAGAATTCATTCAGTGCCCAGAGATCCCAAAACTACACTGCTGCTTTTTTAGAACCAAATGAAATTCACTGTTAATAATGAGCAACTGTTCTGGAGGAATGTTTAGACTGGCTTTCCCTCTGGGGATGGAGACTTGGAGCCAGAATATGAAGATAATGCGTTTTCAGTTGTGAATTTTTCTCACTACTCAGTTCCTCCCCCTCGCAAAATCCAGGTGTTTCAGGTGAATGTTGGTCAAGTAAAACCCCTCCCACCACCTCATCCCTCCTCTCGCTATTGTAGCTACATGTTGATGTTGACCCCCTGATTGGCGACCAGCCAGGCGAGGAATGCTGCACAGGCTGAAGTTGAGGGAGGGAAGGAATTGTCTCTTTGTCCCATTGAGCCTGAATACCAGCCAATAAAAAGCCCAGCTCGCTCTCTGAAGTCAATGAGCTTGACCCACAGCGATGTTCCCGCGCACCAATACCATGGGAATCTTTTGCAAACTTGGCTCCGGATCAATTCCCATCTCCAAGTGCAGGCCTCCTGCCAGGTGGGAACCCAAATCACTGCATCCGAAACTCTGGAACACTCTCCCTCCACCTTGGGCCTTCCTTCCCCATTGTCACATTGTGGCTGAATACCTTCTTATTCGATTGTGCCTAGGGTCACCTCCCCCCGCCTCGGCCTCGTGTTCAGCCACTGTCAAGTGCTCTGGGATCCCAACATGAGGGGCGCTGGATAACTACAAGTTTTTGTTGTATTCTCCTGGGTCTGTGCCCCTGTACTGATGGTCTCTGACACAAGTTGAGACAAACCCGCTCCAGTGGACTCCGCATGTGTGACCGGCCAGCGAAAGAGTGAGGACAGGTGCAACTTGGCATCAGAACCGTGGGCTTGGCTTGTTCCCATCGAGCGGGCTGGGGAGAAACGTTCCAGCTCTGTCGAAAGAAAATGCACTCAAGCCCAAGGGAATTTGCAGTTATTTTTTATTTGGCTTTTTTTGTTTCCTTCACAAACCAAACCATAAAAAAGGCAAAACCAGAAACAACTTTTTTTGATTGGCCAAAACTTACAGAAAGTATCTGGGGTGAGATTGAGGGTGAGGGCGAGGAGGGTGAGTGTGACGCTGCCAGCCCAAGTCTCTGTGAGGGAGTCCTCAGTCAAGCCATTTGACTTCCTACCCTCTGTCTAAGGTTTTATATCAGGACAAGACAATGGCTGCTTTTTGTGTCCAGTAGTTACACCAGTTCCCTCAGTTGTCGTGGGTCACCCGCTCAGCTGCTCCATTTACCTCAAACCCAAAGCCCTGTCACTGAGATTATTTGCCCCGACACTAAGATCAACCTTTCTTTTGTCCATTTCCTGTCCTTTTGCTGTGGCCTATTGGGAATTTGCCCTCGTGCCTGCCCTTCCCATGTGTGACTGGATATTGGGCCCTCGATACCAAGCCCTCGCCCTGGCTGTAACCTTTGGACCCACATAGTGATCAAGAGACTTCCTTCCCCTCCCTCCCTCGTGGCACTGAGGCAAATTGTGCCCCCTTTCCCCTCCACCCGGTCTGGCTGAGATCAGCTCAGCACTGAGCAAGAATCAAACCAGGATCCTATTGTGTTTAGTATGTCATGGACTGCAGTAAAGTCCACCCCAGACAGAGCTCCAGCCTTTCTGTAAGTTTTATTATAATGAACAATATACACAGCGACTGCAGGAATGTTCTAGAAATCATTTTTTGTTCAACAAAAACAAAAAAGCGCAAGTTGACTTGTACCCTGGACAAGACAAGATGGTGTCGCGTGGATGGTGATTGGAAACGATTGACGCGATGGGAGCAGTGAGAGCCAGAGCTCAGACATCATGCTGATCAGTGCGAGCTCTGCTCTCTGCGGCCAAAGCCCAACAGAGAAGCCTCCAAATTGAAGCACGCCAAACAGAGGGCAGCTCTGGTGAGTCAGTGACGCTAAGAAACCAGTGTGTTCAATGAGCTCAGTGAGGGACGTGCTTGGCTGCCACACCAGATACAGCTGCTCTGTGCTGTGTGACTCTGGCTGCAGTTCCCTGGGGTCACGTTAGTGAGCAAACTCCGCGTACAGTTAACCTGACCCTCGCTCAGCCCATGGCCCTGACCCTCGCTCAGCCCGTGGCCCTGACCCTCGCTCAGCCCGTGGACCTGACCCTCGCTCAGCCCGTGGACCTGACCCTCGCTCAGCCCGTGGGGGCTGCGTCATCAGAAATGGGCAACGTATATGCAGCAAAACTCCACATCGCACGCGGCCACCTCAGGGTGTCAGGGAGGGGCAGAGGGGCTACGCTGCAGGGCAGGATACGATGGCAGTCCAGGGGCACAGGACAGCAATAATACTGAGGCCATGTCACAATGAGCAATAATACTGAGCGGAAGAGGGCGGAGGAAGATACAATTCTAAACGTTAAATACAAGCAGTGTTGAAGCTGGACACGCGTGTGATTTGTCCCAAGTCACTGACGTGTTTCTAACTAAACAGAGATACAGTGTGTGGGCGCGACCTTCTACTCTACAATGACAAGTATTTACAGACTGTTTACAAGCTGAGCCGCTGGCCAGAGGGAACCAGGAGATGTGTTACGGGATGCAGATATTACCTGAGAAGCTGCAGGCGTGTGAGAGTGTGTATGAGGGTGAGTGTGAAAGTGTAGGTGTGTCTGAGTGTGTGTACATGTGTGTGTGCGCATGAGTTGGTGTGAAAGCGTGTGAGTGTGCATGTGTGTGTGTGAGTGTGCATATGTGTGTGAGTGCACGTGAGTGTGCATATGTGTGTGAGTGCACGTGAGTGTGAGTGTGTGTGTGGGGGCTGTTTGGAAGCTAACTCCTGACTGTTAGCAGTGAGGCCTGCGGGCAGACAGTTCCCACAAGCAGAGACAAAACTAAAACTAAAGTCAGGCTTCGGTAAATTATTCCACTGGACACCTCTTTCTTGGGTAAAAGCCGTGTCAGGCAATGTGTTCTTTCTTGAGGTTTCGGTCTGACGTCCAGATTTGCTGCTAACCAACTACTGAATCAATCCAGGTTCCCCCTGTGAGAGGCTTTGCTTCTCAAATCCAAACTCCTTCATTTGGTTTGAGTGGGGAGAGGGGAGGGGGAGAGGAAAAGGGGAGAGGATGGTCAGAGATGCCAAGAAGAGCTCAGTTTGGTTACAAAGACCCAACTGAGCCCCTAGGCTTGCTTGGTATTGGAAAATAAATATCACAAAGAGCAATCATACCAAATTCCAGGAGGCCCAAATTCCACCCAGTCTTAGTCTGTGTGGCACCCTTTTGCTTTTCCAGAGATCTTTTAAAAAAACGATTTAATAATAATAATAATCCTATCATTTAGCACCTTATCACATCTTTGAGATGTCTCAAAGCGCTTCACAGGATATACCGTAAAGTGTAGTGGCTGTGTGTTTTGTGGGCGAAATGCCCAAAAAATTAAGACTGGATTTGAGACTTTTCCACAATTCAACACAATATCAAAGGGAAGTGTTGTGTCAGGCTAAAGTCCAGATGGTAATCGCAGGTCTTTATCTGTCTCTAAAGTCCCCAAACACTAAACACTCCCAGTGCGTTGGTATTACTCCTGCATATTGAGAGGAACACCAGACACACTCACTCCCCCCCCACCCCAGGGGAGGAGTGACCTGCTCTGCGACAGAGAGACTCGTGCTGAAACTGACTGTTAGTTATTGTAAAGGAGTCGGGGGTTGGGGGAGAAATAAAACGTTCAGATAAATACAATGGAACAAAGGAGAGAGCTCTTGCAGTCACTCTCAATGTGGATCTTGTTGAAGGGTTTGGACCTTCAATCAGCCTTGGATCCCATTGGACTTGGGAATCTTTGCCTCCAGCAGGAAGAGGTTGTGGAGTCGGGAGGATTTCCCAAACCAGGAATGATAGGAATTCCTCCCAATGCCACGAGGTGGCGCCAGGAAAACCCGGGATGCTTGTGGTGTATTTGGGATCTGAGTTCAGGAATTGGGAAGCGCTGTAAGACAGTAAAACGTGAACCCGTGGGTAAACCACATGCATTTCCCCAAATCAGCGGAACGACAGCAGGTGCTCGTGAAGCCATCGATTCCTCACGGTGAAAGTGTTGCGATGTGTTGTGCGTTCGTTCCTTGGTGAAGGATAAACCTCAGTGTCTTGTCGAGGAAACTGTTCTTAGCAAAAGTGTGTAGTGTTGTGGAGACAAAACATTTTGACATCTGTGCGGAAAGGCCAAGGGCAGGCGAGAAGGAGGAAGGGAGGGAGGGAGCAAGCGAGCCAGAGTTACTTGCCCTCACTCCTCAGGTCGGCATATTCCTCACCCTTCACTCCAGGAAGAAAAGGAAAGGAAACTATTAACAAACTGATTTTATCTTCTCGTTTCTCCACAGATTTCTTCATCCCAATCCTGAAGATCTGTCCCACAGGTACATCCCCAAAAGGCTATTCTTCATAGGAAAAGGAGGCCATTCAGCCCCCCGAGCCTGTTCCGCCATTCTATTATGGTCATGGTTGATGCTCAACTCCAATAACCCACCTTAGTCTTGATACCCTTGATACCCTGACCTAACAAATAGCCATCACCTCAAGCTTGAGAACTTGAATCAGCATCATTCAGGTGTGAGCATTTGGCAGAATATTCCATCAATTTACCCTCTCTCCACTCCCCTCCCCCTATCTGTAAGTGTAGCTCCCAGCCAGGGTCGCTCTGTGCGCTGATCAGAAAGGGAACCTGACTGATTGCTTCTCCTGCTTAAGAGCCCATCGGATGTGTTGGTAGCCCTGACTCCTGTACTGGCCGTGGTCAGTAACTTGACAAGAGTAGAGAGTGAAGCTGGGAGTATATTGTTGAGCAGAGAGAGACATCAGACAGCTCGACCACAAAGGAACATGGGAATTACTAGATTTAAAAAAGCCCCAGGTCCATCTCGTTGGCCTTCACTATCCTGGTAATCACAGCTACAATAATGGAGATGTTGATAGCAGTTAATCCTGTATGGATTAGTCTACAACACAGTGGGAAGCTTTGGGAACCTGGTTCTTCCCAAGCTAAACTCCCCTTTACTAATATCACGTCTCTGGGCACTGCCTGTGTTAGGGGCGCTATATGAATGCCAGTTGTTGCTGTGCCTTCAGCTGCTAAGCCCCAAAACTTTGGCACTCCCTCCCTCAACCCCTTGGCCTCGCCCCCTCCTTCCCCATCTTCAGATCGCGCCTGAAGACCTTCCTTTTCAACCGCGCCTACGGTCACCTCCCCCTCCCCCTGGCTCGGCCTCGGGCTACACCATTGTTAAGCTCTGAGACCCCGCCCAGCGTGGAGGGCGCAATATCAGTGCAAGTTGTTGTTGTTGTCTCAAATTACTCCTGTTCTGTAAACCCCAATTATTATTTTCGAAAAGAATCAAATCTGTATTTGAATTGTCTCAGTTTGATTGACGGAGCCTCTCCCTGAGAGACCGAGAGCAGTACCAGGGTATCTGGATGTACTAACCTGATCACCTGGTGGCCTCTTTTCTCCGTTAACTCCTTGCAAAAGCACCGTCTCTTCCGGAACCTTCTGCTCGTTCTTTGCCTCAACCACAATGTTGTCGTGAGCGTCCGTGTGCGTTCTGTTTAAAAAAAAGCTTGTTACTGCAGTGATCAAAGATATATATATACGAATAGTTAGACAGATAGAGAGAGAGATAGAGAGATATACACACACACTTATTGATACATACACACACACACATAGAGATATAAATACACACATATGGATAAACACACATAGATACACACATAGACAAACGCATACATGTCTATACACCTATAGATATATACACTCACACGTATTGATATACATATATACACGTACACACACACACGCATACATACTCACTCGCTCGCTCACTCACTCACTCAGATACAGACACAGATTGCAATGTCAGTGGCTGTGTTCCCTGGTGATGGACTCACATGTCCTGTTTCCCTGAGCGGCCGCAGGAGATTTTGCCCTTTTTATAGAGGAAATACAGCACAGCTCCCAGGATGGCAAGGACCAGAATACACACAATGATGGCTACAATCACCACTCCCCCACTGCTCTTCTTGCGACGCATACCTGGGTGCAGGAAAGAGAGAGAGAGACAGTGATTATATGCTGTACATGTTGCGTCCTGGAGCTCAGTGGTTAGAGCACTCGCCTCGCAAGCGAGAGGCCTGCTGCGATTGCCAGGTCAGGCCAAAACATTGTTTCCTTACTCCACACACACACATTCACTCACTCGCCTCTGTTTACCAGAGGTCAGTAGGACCCCATTTGTTAGTCAAATTGACGGATTGTTTTTCTGGAGGTAATAATCCCCTCAAAAATGTTTTTAAAAATGTGGTCACTTCAACCCGTGACTGTTTGTGGGACAGTGCTGCGATTGGCTGCCGCGTTTTGCCCACAAATATGCAATCAATTCACTTTCCAGTATATTCTGTGAAACGCTTTGAGACGTCTGGAAGACGTGATACGGCGTTGTAACAAACACAAGGATTATTATCATTGTTACACATTGCTACTGCCTCAGCTGTTAGTTTGAACTGATTCTTCACCCCCCCTTTTTTCTCACCCCCCTCCTTCTCCTGCAGCGTACATGGAGCAGCCCCCCACTCCTCTCCCAGTGCTACTTATCCTCTCCCATCTTTGCACAGGCACAAAATTCCACACAGTGTTAGTCTGCGAAACCATTTTTTTTCTTATAATTTAAGACAACGATTAAGAATTGTGCTGACAAGGTTCTTAATAATAATCCTTGCATTTGATACAGTGCCTTATCACATCTTCAAGACATTCACAAGAATAGACCATCAACTGAATTGGCTGTATATTTGTGGGCGAAACGCGGCAGCCAATTGCGCTCAGCAGCGTCCCACAAACAGCCGTGGGTTGAAGTGATCAATTTATTATTAGAACTCTTTATTCGGAAGCCACTTTTCTGTAGTTGTTAAAAGAAATTCCAACTGAAATTCACAGCAAAGCCTCCGGCCAGGAATGGAGCGTTTAACTGGCAGCAGACACACCCACCTTAGCCAGACAGAACCCAAAAGACTGACCTTTCATTCCAATCCCGTCCTCTGTGACAAGCAAGAAATGGGAGAGACGAGAAATATCATAAACTAACATCCTCCAGGCAACCAGTGTCTCTCAGAGCTATGTGGATTATTGTGCTGCATCCAACCTTTGGAACCCCATCCCACAGACCCTCCGCCTCGCTCCTTCCCTTGCCTCCTTCATGGCACATCTCAAGACCCTCCTCCTCAACAGCACCTTTGGTCACCCTCCTACCCCCACCCTCCCTGTCCTCCACTCCCTCCTGATCCCTAAACCCCAGCTCAGAGCCCTGACTGTCCAGTGCCTTGGGACGTCCTCCTGACGTGACAGTCGCTGTGTAAATGTCAGTTGTTGTTGCAAGTCAGACCTGTCATATCCTCCTTTATCCCGGGTTGATACGCCGGCAGTAATGGTCTTAAACCTGTTCTGGGGGTAACTACCCCTCCTAACAGCGTCTAAATGAGCTTGAGCCCCCGGCCAGCAACTGACAGACTCGCCGCGCAAAATAGAATTGTTTTTCTAACAGCAAAAAGTTTTTTTTTACAAGTTCTATAAAATGGCCATTGAAGCAGAGCCGGAGACACAGTGCTCACTGCAGTTACTGGTTGAGTTTCAGGTCAAATAGTTTTCTCGTCGGGGCAGCGGCCCAGAGCGCTTGACAGTGGCGGAGCCTGACGCTGAGCCGGGGGGAGGGGGGAAGTGACCACAAGCGCGGTCGAAGAGGGGGGTTTTCAGGCGTGACCTGAAGATGAGGAAGGACGGGGTGAGGGGAGGATCCACCACTGTGACTAATGTAGAGATGTACTCACTGTCGGTCGGAGACCCTGTGGCAGAAGGTGACATCACTTCTGGAAAACAAAGGCAAAGGTTGATCAGGACCAACCGCCCTGAGGGGAAACTCCACCCAACTCACAGCCCGACCGAGCGCAGGGGTTCTCGCCCCGCCCCTCGCGCCGGGCCCCCCCCCTCGCGCCGGGCCCCGCCCCTCGCGCCGGGCCTCTCGCCCGGCCCCGCCCCCTCACGCCAGGCCCCGCCCGCCACGTCGGGCCCCGCCCCGCCCGTCGGGCCCCGCCCCACACACCGGGCCCCGCCCCACACCGGGCCCCGCCCCGCACACTGGGCAGGATCCCAGAGTGTTTGACAGTGGCAGAGCACGACTCTGAGCCGGGGGGAGGGGGAGCAGCGTCTCAGGCGTGACCTGAAGATGGGGAAGGAGGGGCGAGGCAGGGAATAGAGAAAGTTCCAGAGTTTCGAGGCGTCGTGGCTGAAAGCACGGTCATCGATGGTGAAACGGAGGGGACGAGGGACAAGCAGGAGTCAGAGTTAGGCAGCAAAGGGAGCGCGCAGTGGGTTGGGGAGTAAGGAGGTCGGAGAGGGAGGGAGGGAGGTGCCGGGCATGGAGGAATTTGGAAACGAGGACACTCACTTCTGGCCACATCGAAAAGGAAGGACTTGCTGCCCTGGATGTTGGTGCCGTTGCACATCACCTTCTGCATCTCCTCTGTCAGCGGCAGAACCAGCTCACTGACCACCGTGACCACATGATCCTCTTGAAACATCTTCATCATCTGCACAAAACCAGGGACAACTCTACTGTAAATCAAACCATCATGGCACCCACACACATACCTACACACACAGTCACCCTCACACACTCCTATTCACACACACCCACACAGACACCCACACACACCTACACACACACATAGACCCACACAGTCCATCCCCCCCACACATATATCCACACACACAGTCACTCACATACTCACTCGCACACACACACACAAACACACATACCCACACACACACACCCCAAACCCACACACAATCACCTATACACACACCCACACACACACAAACCCAAACAAACACCCCCACACACCCACACACATACCCACAGACACACTCACACATACTCACACTCACCCACACTCACACATATCCCCACACACACTCACACATACTCACTCACTCACACACATACTCACACACTCACTCACACTCACGCGCACACTCACACATACAGCCACTCACTCACACACATACACACAGTCACCCACACACATATATACAACACATACACAATTCACACACTCATATCCTCACCGCACACATACACATACAGGAGGTTGACCCTCATCACCCACTCATCATCCATAGGGCAAGATGAAGAAGAGAACAAGATAGAGACGGAAGCAGAGACAAAGATGGAAGGAGAGAGGGAGAAACACACAAGAGAGAAAGCTGTGTACACTATTTCTCTGTATTGATGGAGGTTTTCTGTGTGTGAAACCCTCACAGGGTAAACGTACTGGATTGCCGGGCGCGCTCCACGTGATGCTGGGTTTAGGGAAACCTCTGAATGTGCAGCTGAGGTTCACGTGTTTCTCCTCTTTCCCGGAGATCTTTGTGCTATTGGCCACCATCTCAGGGGCTCCTGTGTGAACCAGCAACAAAACAAACAGGAGTGAGACAAGCATCAGGTAGTATCTTCTCAAGACCTTCCTCTTCGACTGCACCTTCGGTCACCCTCCTACCCCTACACTTCTGGCCCTCCAACCCTCCTGATCCCAACCCTCCTGATCCCAACCCTTCCTGATCCCAACTCCTCCTGATCCCAACCCCTCCTGATCCCAACCCCCAGCTCAGGTCCAAATCTCTGACTGTCTTGGGATGGCCTCCCGATGTAAGCGACAAACAACAACAACAACAACAAGATTCCATTTATAGAGCGCCTTTCACGTCAGGAGGACGTCCCAAGGCGCTGCACAGTTGGGTCATGACCCGAGCAGGGGGGAAATGGTCAGGGTGAGGGGAGGGAAGGGAGGGAGAGAGGAGGGGGGAAATGGTCAGGGTGAGGGGAGGGAAGGGAGGGAGCGAGGAGGAGGAAGAGAGTCGAGAGGGGAGCTGAAGGCACGGTCAAAGAGAAAGGTTTTGAGACCGGCCTTGAAGGAGGAAAGGGAGGAAGCGGCGAAGGCACTGGGGATGGAGTTCCAGAGCCTCGGGCTGAGAGGCTGAAGGCCCGACCACCGATAGTAGGGCGGTTGGGGCGGGGGACGTGGAGCAGACCGGAGCCAGAGGAACGGAGGGTACGGGCAGGTAGGTAGGGGGATAGTAGGTTGGAGAGGTAGGAGGGAGCAAGGCCGTGAATGGCCTTGTAGGTGAGGATGAGGATCTTGAAATCAATCCTCTGGGGGATGGGGAGCCAGTGGAGGCGAGGGCGAGGGTAGGAGTGATGTGGTCCCGAAGCCTGGTGCGGGACAGTACACGAGCTGCAGAGTTCTGAATGAAAATGAATGTGTGTGTAAATGTTTAAATGTCATGTGTTGTTGTTTTTCTCACCTGACAATAAGTTTCTAATCTGAGGGATTTACCACAATTGTGCGGCAATCTTACATTTTCAGGCAAAACAGGCAAATAGCCTCTGGGTGCTGATGTTTCTCCCCCATCCTCTCCCTCCCCAGCTCAGGGGCGCTGAAAGCAATTATAATGCCATCACCCACGAGCCTACCTTGTACCACAACGCTGATGGAGTTACTCTGGACCAAGCCGGGGACGCTGGGTACAGAGACCTCACACGTGTAGGTGCCGGCATTCTCAAAGCCAACCTGGGGCAGACGCAGTGTGTTGGTGGTGCTGAGCGGAGATTTCTCCTGTGGGAGAAGTGGGGGAGAGTGGTTACTGCACAGCATGGACTGACACTGAGGGCACAGCCACAGGTCAGACTGGCAATAATAATATATTGCATTTGATAATAATAATCCTTGCATCACGTCTTCAAGGCGTCTCAAATTGCTTCACAGGATATACTGTAAAGTGTAGTGACTATATTTTGTGGGCGAAACGCAGCAGTCAATTGTGCACAGCAGTCGTGGATTGAGTCACCAAATTATTATCTTTTTTTTGGAAGGAATTATTACCCCAGGAAAAGTGATCTGCCAATTGACTATCAACCGGTTACCTACTGACTGCTGCTAAATAGAGCCGTGAGTGGGTGTATGTGTGTAGTAAGGAAACTCGACCAACATTTCGCCCTGACCTGCCCGGGAATTGAACTCAGGTCTCTCGCTTGCGAAGGCTCTAACCACTGAGCTCTAGGACTTGTTCAATGTGTCCCCCAACCCCTGAACCTTACTGTGTCCTTCCTCCAGACAACGGATGTTTTCTGGGAACCGAACGCATTGCACTGCAACTTCACGTCGGTGTCACCGCGGGTGAGATTGAGCCCTCGGTCTGGGGTCAGCTGTACAGGATCCAAATCTGCAGCAAAGGAAAGGAAATGTGATGTATGTGTATGTGGGGGGGTGGGGGTGTATGTGTGTGTGGTGTGTGTGGGGGCGCGGAGGTGTGTGTAGGGGGGGTGGGTGGGGGTGTGTATGTGTGTGGGGGTGTATGGGTGTGTGTGTGTGGGGGGGTATGTTTGTGGGGGACGGTGGGTGGGGGTGTGGGCATGTGTGCGGGGGGGTGGGGGAGTGTATGTGTGTGGGGGGGGTTGTGTGTGTGGGGGGGGTGCGGGCTGTGTGTGAGGCGTAGGTAGTGGGTGGGAGTGTGTATGGGTGTTTGTGTGTGTGGGGGGGGTGGGTGTGCACGTGTGAGGCAGATGGTGGCTGGGAGTGTGTATGGGTGTGTCTGTGGGGGTGGATGAGGCTGTGTATGGGTGCGGGTGTGTATGGGTGTGGGTATGTGTGGGGTGTGTGTGGGGAGTGTCTGTATGGGCGGGGGGTGTGGGGTGGTGCGTGGGGGGATGTGTATGTGGGGGGGCGGATGTTGGGGAGAGTGGGGGGGGGTGAGGTGGGGTTGTGTGTGGGGGAGGGGGAAATGACAGAAGTATCTGAGTTGGGAAAAAACTGAGAGGAAGTAAAATACATACAGTTTACTGTTAAATTGATGTTTTTTTCAAAAAAATTGGTAGTTTCCATGTCCATTGCTCGGCAGATATAGACTCCTGTGTTGTTGCGTGTTAGTCGCTCGATCACCAGGATGTCGTTCTCACTGGTCAGACCCATCTCTTCACCACTGTCCTGGGTACCAGAGGGGGGAAATGGGGTTATTATTCCAATAGAAATTGTCCAGAACAACAGGTGTCAGTGCTGCCGGCCGAGGAAGGCTAAAGCTAAGTCTGTGTCTATCACCCTGTTTGTCTGGTGAACAGTGGAACATATAGGAACAGGAGGATGCCATTCAGCCCCTCAAGCCCATTCTGTCATTCTATAACGCGGTTTATCAAATGCAAGGATTATTATTATTATATCTTAAAACTCATTACTATTATTATTATCATTACAACAGGAAATTGCAGGAAGTGTAGTGACTGTTTTTGTAGGTAAGCGAGGCAATGAGTTTGGTCAGAGCAAGATCCCACACACTTACTGTGCCGGAATGTCAGCCCGGACTGTGAGCTCCAAGTCCAAACGTAGAGATAATCATAAAAATCTTTGCATTTGTTAAAGCAACTCATCACATTGTTGAGACGTCTCAAAGTGCTTCACAGAATATACTGTAAGGTGAAGTGATTGTATATTTTTTGGGGTGTTACAATATATGGCAACGCTGCACTGACATCCCCTTCACACCCAACACCTCCCTATCTCTGCTACCTGCTCACTCCCCAACCCACCATCTGCTGCCTCCGCTCGACTGGCTCCAGCCTCCTGCATGTCCCCTGTGCCCTCCGCTCCACCATCGGTGGCTGCATTTTCAGCTGCTAAGCCCCGAAACTCTGGAACTCTCTCCCTCAATCTCTCCACCTCGCCCCCTCTCTCCACTTTTTCAAGTTCCACCTGAGGACCTTCCTCTTTGCCCGTCCCTATCGTCACCTCCCCCTCACCCCGGCTTTACGTTGTGCTCCACCACTTCTGGGACACTGCCCTGGTTGTTATTGACCAGCTTATGGGTGTGAATACAGCTCACCATTAGCCTGAAAAAACTGTACTCCCCTAAGGAGCTGCCATCACCGGAGCACTTCAGTGTCACTGCGTCGTCCTCCTTCACCAACCTCGGCTCCATCGTCAGCTCCATGTTCTCTGTGGGATCTGGAGAGGGAAGCAGCACGATTGTGGCCATGTTACAACACAAGACAATCCTGGAGAACTGACACCCACCACCATCATCCTCTTATTTCACCACACAACAAACACAAAGATTTACACCAAAGGTGAGATGGTTTAAACTCTCTCTCCTGGTTGTAGTTGGAGATTATTTGGGCCTTAATTAAGATTGTGATTATTTTGATGCCCAGTTCGGCTTTGCTCAGTCTCATGTTGTTGTCAAGCTGCAGACCTGGGACCTTATAGGGTGCGATTTGTGCAAAACAAGTTCTCACGAACAGACGCATAGAGAATGACAAATGGATGTGTGTGTGTTTTGGCCGGGACACTGGGAAAATCTCTTCCTTGTCTTTTCCAACAACGCCACAGTCCCGGCACACGGCACCCCCTCCCACTGCTCTTTGGAACTCCATCCCACAATCCCTCCACCTAACCCCCTCCCTTGCCTCCTGCAAGGCACGTCTGAAGACCTTTCTCTCCCTTCGACCGCACCTTCGATCAACCTCCTACCCCTACTCTCCCTGCCCTCCACACCAGCTTGGGTCCAAATCCTTGACTGTCCGGCACTTTGGGACATCCTCCCGATGTGAAATGCGCTGTGTAAATGTTATTTGCTGCTGTTGTTGTCGTTGTTGCTCTGCATTCTCGCTGATTGAATACTCACAGGTAAGCGAGATGTTGATCGGTTTTGACTCCATCATCTTCTGTATGCCCCCTGGCAGCCTGTAGCTCACCTCACAGTAGAAAGTAGAGTCTTTGTCTTGTTTCCGGAGCTTGTAGTAGAGGGTGCTGGAGACCGTCATGTACTTGTTGGAGGTTTCCGTCGTCTGAGGCACCATGTACATTTCTAAACCAGAGAAAACAAACTGGAAGCAGGGAGATCGAAAGCACGGTCGAGGAGGAGTCTTGAGATGGATCTTGAAGGTAACAAGGGAGGGGGCGAGATGGGGGGACTGCAGGATGGAGTTCCAGAGGGTGGGGGCAGAGTGGCAGAAGGCCCGCCTGCTGATAGTGGGGCGAGCAAGGCAGGGGACGTGAAGCAGGCCGGAGCGAGCAAGTTGGTAGGGGGTTAGGAGGTTGGAGAGGTCGGGGGGAGCAAGGCCATGGAGTGCTTTGAAGGTGAGGACCAGGATCTTGAACTGTGTGTGATGGGAAACCAGTGGAGTTGGGCGAGGATGGGGTGATAGGGCCACGGAGCCTGGTGCGGGGGAGGACACGGGCTGCAGAGTTCTGGATGATCTACAGCCTGTGGAGAGATGATTTGGGGAGGCCGACAAGCAGTGAGTTTGCATAGTCGAGCCTCGATGTAATGAAGGCGTGTATGATGGTCTCGGGTGCCTGCGGCGTGAGACAGCGGTGGAGTCGGGCGATGTTGCGGAGGTGGCGGAAGGCAGAGTGGATCATGGCTTAGATGTGGGGTAGAAAGGATAGTTGAGGGTCAAACAAGATGCCAAGGTTCCGGACTGGCTTAGCAAGGTGGAGTGTATAACCATGGATGGTGATGCTGTCAGCGCCTGAGGTAAGGAGGTGCTGATGGGAGACAACCAGGAGCCTCGGTCTTGTTGATGTTCAACTGGAGAAAATTATTATTCTTATTACCATTACTATTATTATGATTACTATTGTTATTATGATTATTGTTATTATTATTATGTGCTGTAACTCAGATGTGGCCACTTACTGCTGTTTCTCTTCATGACGGGCTTCAGAGGTGTCCGGTCCTTGTACCACCTGATGGAGGGAGCTGGGTAGCCATTGCGGCTGGTGCACTCCGCGATCTGAAAGAGGAAGCGAATCGTTGAGGTCAGTCATTGCCCTACACACGAGGGCTGCATCAGTCCGTCTCCCACCAGCATTGGGCCCTGGCGACTGACCTCAAGCACAGGTTATTGAAGCGCCGGGCAGAGAGGGGATATCCCGCGGTGCCTCACTAGCGAGAAGATCTGGGTTTGATTCCCGAGTCGGAGTGAAACCTCAGGCAAGTTTCCTGACTCCACACACACACACACACGGCTCTGTTTATCAGCGGTAAATAGGACCCCAGTTGTAATCGATTGGCGATCACTTTTCCAGGGTAATAATCATTAAAAAAAAATCTGGTCGCTCAACCCACGAGTGTTAATGGGAACTTGCTGTGAGCAATTAGCTGCTGTGTTTAACCTACAAAATACACAATCACTAAACTTGACAATTTTTGGGGGTCAGCCGAATGTCTGACACACGCAGAAACCCATCAACCATTGCTTAAAAGAGTTTCCAAACCAAACTGAGATTTCCATATATCCCATTTACACATGGAAATCCTAGAGACAGATTGTTGGAATGGAATGTGCTCTCTCTCTCTCTCTCTCTCACTCACTCTCTTTCCCTGGAGAGATGCATCCTGCTTACTTAATTCCGTAAAGTATTAGGCGCAGGTTGGTAAGAGCCAAGGCTGTGCGTTGGGATACTGCTGGAGTCTAACCAGCTGAAACCGCATAGCTCGCCATTGTGGAGTCCCGTAGCTCAGTGGTTAGATCTCGCCTCGCAAGCAGAGGACTTGGGTCGATTCACGGCAATAATTTGGTCACTCAGTCTACGACTGTTTGTGGGACACTGCTGCGATTGGCTACCACGTTTCGGCCACAAAATATGCAATCAATTCACTTTACAGTATATCCTGTGAGACGCTTTGAGATGTTTCAACGACATGATAAGGCTTTATCTCAAATACAAGGATTATTATTATTATATATCATTGCACCAGGAGCTACAGATAAATCCTCTACTCAACATCGTACTTTCCAAATGATGGGGGTTTGGGTTTTGGGATTGCGAGACGCCAAGTGACAGCCTGGCTACTTACCTCCGAGACATCTGTAGCTAGAACCGAGGCGCTGACCGACTTCACTTGTATGTTGGGCATCGTTGGAACGGCTGCCAAAGTGGGGAGACGGCTGGTTAAACCCAAGGCAGGGCACGACAGTTCCATTGGAAACTGCCCCACAACAACAACTTGCATTTATATAGCGCCCTTCACGTGGGGTAGCGTCCCAGAGCGCTTGACAGTGGCATAGTCTGACCCTGAGCCAGGGGGAGAGAGAGGGCGCAGGTGACCTTAAGCACAATCAGAAAGGAAGGTCTTTAGGTGGGATTTGAGAGTGGGGAGGGAGGGGGCAAGGCGGAGGGATTGAGGGAGAGAGTTCCAGAGTTTCGGGGCATAGTGGCTGAAGGCAAGGCCACCAATCGTGGAGAGGAGGGGACGAGGGACGAACAGAAGGTTGGAACCAACTGAACAGTGGTGAGGTGGGGGGGTGAGCAGATAGGAGAGGGAAGGAAGGAGCTGTGAAGTATGAAGGGATTTGAAAGTGAGTGAGAGGATCTTGAAATAGATCCATTTGGTATTGGGAGCCTGTGAAGCCTGGCGAGGGCTGAAGTGATGGGGTACAGAGTTTAGTGGGTGTGATAGGGAGCCAGTGGAGCCTAGCCCCCACAATAAAGAGAGATCTTCTTACCATAAACCCGGAGCTTAGACATCCCCTCGCTGCTGCCCAGCAGCCCAGCTCCCACCTGACAGTAGAAGGTTCGGTTGTCCATCAGCCTGACATCATTGATGGTCAGCGTGTACGCTTCATCCACACTGATGCGGCTTGTGTAGGCCGTCTCTTTATCGGTAACGCTGTCCTTATCATCCTTGAAATAAATCCGCTGGCGTTGGCTTCCCTCCTTCTGAGGATGTAAACAGAGGGTTCAACGTTTAACGATCATCTACTTTAGCTCATCCTCAGGAGAAGTCAATTGGCTGCCGCGTTTCACCCACAAAATATACAGTCACTTCACTTCACAGTATATCACTGTGAAGCGCTCTGCAACACTTCAAAGACGAGATAAGGCGCTGCATCAAACGCAAGGATTATTATTATTATTAAGTTTTGTGTCTCAGCAGCAACTTGCCCTGACCTCAGTCAGTGTCATTTACCAGGAACACACAGGGCTGTGCTGTCTCACACACACACACACACACACACACACAGCCCCACACACACACACACAGCCCCACACACACACACACAGCCCCACACACACACACAGCCCCACACACACACACAGCCCCACACACACACACACAGCCCACACACCACCACAGCCACACACACACACAGCCCCACACACCACACACACAGCCCCCACACACACAGCCCCACACACACAGCCCCACACACCACACACACACAGCCCCACAGCCCACACACACACACACAGCCCCACACACACACACAGCCCCACACACACACACAGCCCCACACACACACAGCCCCACACACACACACACACACACACAGCCCACACACACACAGCCCCACACACACAGCCCCCACACACAGCCCACACACACACACACAGCCCCACACACACACACACACAGCCCCACACACACACAGCCCCACACACACACACACACAGCCCCACACACACACACACACAGCCCCACACACACACACACACAGCCCCACACACACACAGCCCCACACACACACAGCCCCCACACACACACACACAGCCCACACACACACACACACAGCCCCACACACACACAGCCCCACACACACACACAGCCCCCCCCACACACACACAGCCCCACACACACAGCCCCACACACACAGCCCCCCCACACACAGGCCCCCCCACAGACACAGCCCCCCCCCACACACACAGCCCCCCCCCACACACAGCCCCCCCCCACACACAGCCCCCCCCCACACACAGCCCCCCCCCACACAGCCCCCCCCACACAGCCCCCCACACCCACAGCCCCCCACACACACACAGCCCCCCCCCACACAGCCCCCACACAGCCCCCCCCCCACACAGCCCCCCCCCCACACAGCCCCCCCCCACACAGCCCCCACACACAGCCCCCACAGCCACAGCCCCCCCACAGCCCCCCACACACAGCCCCCCACACAGCCCCCCCACAACACAGCCCCCCCACACACAGCCCCCCCCCCACACAGCCCCCCCCACAACAGCCCCCCCCACACACAGCCCCCCCACACAGCCCCCCACACACACAGCCCCCCCCCACACAGCCCCCCCCCACACAGCCCCCCCCCACACAGCCCCCCCACACAGCCCCACACACAGCCCCCCACACACAGCCCCCCCCCACACAGCCCCCCCCCACACAGCCCCCCCCACACAGCCCCCCCCACACACAGCCCCCCAACACCCCCACACAGCCCCCCCCCACACAGCCCGCTTGATAAACAATAACAACTTGCAGTTACACAGCGCCGCTCATGCAGCGTAGCGTCCCAGAGCGCTTGATGGTGGCGGAGCACAACACCGAGCTGGGGGAGGGGGAGGTGACCGTAGGTACAGTCGAAGGGGAAGGTCTTCAGGAGTGACCTGAAGATGGGGAAGGGCGAGGCAAGGCAGAGGCCAGGGATCGCTCCTCACCCCCACCCTCACCTGGGAGCCCGGCGGGTAGGGGCAGGCGGTAAACAGGCACAGGCTCTGACTAAACATACATTTATTTCAACCTGGAAAAAAAAAGTTGCGAAAATGCAACCTTGAGACGGACAGAGAGATGACGGGTCACAGCCAAGGATCGGTCCTCATTGAAAATGGGACTCAGGACATTCAGGAGAGAAAAAAATATATCTTTTTTTATATCTATATTTTACAAAAATCAGCCTTGCCTTCAACACTCAAACACTCACACCTCTGGTCGCTGTACTCAGCACATGGGGTTTGGTTTCACAGTAAAGTCATAGTTGTTGAATGGTCAGGGACCTGGTCATTTAAACGCTTTCCGTTCTGGGAATAAACTATTGTTAAAGAGTAACACGAAAATGGTGAGTTTCTGAGAAAAGAACGAGCTGAATTCAAGCAATGATTCAACCCTCAGGATGATGATAATAATAATAATCCCTGCATTTGATACAGCGCCTGATCATGTCTTCGAGACGTCTCAAAAGCGCTTCACAGGATACACTGTAAAGGGAATTGACTGTATATTTTTTGGGCGAAACGCAGCAGCCAATTGCGCACAGCCGTGGATTGAAGTGACCAAATTATTATTTTCTGAAGGGATTATTACCCCCAGAAAAGTGATCCACCAATTGACTAACAATCAGGATACTGTCTCCTCCCCACATACATGGACAGAGACTCTTAGATCTAAAGCCAGACCCACACACCAACCACAGGTGCCCAGACACTAACTTTGGTGATTCACGTTAAAAAATTGCAAAACAAATGAACTTTGTACTTTTTGGCCCACGTTTACTCCAACAGTGAGCTGGTCCCAACAACCGCTGAATTTAAAGGGGTTTTCCAGCAACGAACCTACAATAGCCAATCACTCCCCAGAATCTAAAACTTATTTTCACACCTTCCTCCCTCCCTCCCTCCCTCCCTCGCTCACACCCTTGTGACCACATTCTAAGCCAGTCCAGCTGTCGAGACACAAAGCTCCGTCCTCATCACTGGCTCCCAGCAATCCCTTGCCCCCACCTTCCCCATCTCCCCCACCTGGGAGCCAAGCTGCAGAGCTTCAAGTTCTCAGCCTCTCTGAATGCCGGCCAGTTTCACTGAGAGGCTGGGAGGTAAAAGGGGTATAATAATAATACTTGCTTTGGATATAGTGTCTTATCATGTAGTTGAGACGTCTCAACGCACTTCAAAGGATATATTGTAAAGTGGAGTAACTGTATCTTGTGGGCGAAACATGTAAGGTCGACACTGGAGTAATAAAGTTTCTGTCAGCTGCTCGGAGAATCAGCGTCAGACACCCCGAGTCACAGCCGACAAGAAACTGCCGGCAAATCTCCAGGTGGTCCACGAGCCTCAGCTCTGCTCTCAGCACAATCGTGAGCCTGGCCTTTAGGCAGTCTGAGCCGACAAGTCAGTCCACAGGCACGCTGACACCGCTATACAGCCAGCAGAACTAACATATTGTACTTCAAACTCTCACAGAGGTTATGGCTAAAGATTTGCATAGCGGTGTTTGCATCAGGCAACGAACACATCAGCAGTTGGTCCAGGCAGAGAGAGAGGCGCCAGTAATGGTGCTGTCACAGGTTCACGCACATATGCTGGTAAAATGCAACTGAACTCAGCAGCAGGCTTTGATATCCTTCAGGGGAAAGAGAGAGACAGAGAGAGAGCGCATTCCATTCCAACAATCTATCTCTGGGATTTCCATGTGTAGGTGGGAGGTGTGGAAATCTCAGCTTGGTTTGGAGACTCTTTAGCATAGTGACGGGCGTGCGTCAGACACTCAGCTGACCAAAAAAAAGGCATGTCGACGCACTCCACACTCACCCCTCATCCAGTCTGCCCCAGGGCCCTGACTGAGTGTGGCTCCCACCAGCACACCCCCAAACTCTTTCTGCAAGTAAAGCTTTGAGAAGGCATCACCCGAGCCACTGCCTCAGGCTTGTTTCTCAACAGTTTCGAAATAATAATGATACTCATATTTGATACAGCGCCTTATCAAGTCTTCAAGACGTCTCAAAGCGCTTCACAGGATACAGTGTAAAAGGAATTGACTGTATATTTTGTGGGTGAAACGCTGCAGCCAATTGCACACAGCAGCGTCCCACAAACAGTCGTGGATTGGCAAACCAAATTATTAGTTTTTGTTTGTTTTTGAAGCGTTTATTGCCCCCAGAAAAGTGATCTGCCAATCGATTAACAAACGGGTTCCTATTCACTGCTGGTAAACAGAGGTATGTGGAGTAAGGAAACTTGCCCAGCGTTTCGCCCTAACCCGAGAATCAAACCCAAGTCTCTCGCTTGCGAGGCGAGCGCGGTAACCACTACGCTACAGGATTCCACAGATGACAAAATGAGAAGCTGCACAAGGCTGCAGGCGATCTGTCTGTCAGCATTTCACAAATACACATCTAAAGTCTGTAAAATCATCTGGCGGCAGAGGGGACAGTTACGCTGGTAGACAGGCTGCTGGAGGAGGATGTCGGTGCAGCCTCGACACAGACACAGATGT